CATGTCCACCAGGACTGCATCAAGAGGTGGCTTCGCTCCAAAATTGGCTCAGGTAAATACAAACCTCTCACTTTAGCTAGAGACCCCATCAAAAACATAGCTTCGTCAATCCCTTTACTACTATATTCTTTTCTTGCGATGTTTTTCTTTCAGGCACAAACCTGGAGGCCATCACCACATGTGAACTCTGCAAACAGAAACTGCGCTTGAACATAGACAACTTCGACATTCAGGAGTTATACAGGACACACGTGCAAGTGAGTCACTAAAATCCAAGTTCTACAATTTCAGGACTTGATTTATTGAAATGCTAAAAAAAAAAAAAAAAACTTTTAGGATCAAGTTAATAATGTTTGTTTTTAATCTTTGTAAGTTATGTTGATTTTCCTCGATTTTGTGTCGAATCCTTCATGTCATTTAAGATCAGAGCCGTTTGCTGAAAGGTATTTAACTCTTCCTTCACAGTCAGAATATGATGAGTTCATCAGCAGTGGTTTGTATCTGGTGGTCCTGCTGCATTTCTGTGAACAGAGGTTCTCTGACGTCCTGGGAGCAGTCGATGCAGCTGGGGTGAGAGGAACACAAACACGGACACACACACACACACACACACTTAAAAGTAGTTTTACCCATAGTCCACAGTCACCACGACTCTTATTGTATTCCATTATTCTTTTCTATACTGGCAGAACGAGCAGTTTGTATTTTATTGCTGACTTCTTTACATTTATACAAGATTTTCTGTTTTCTTCAGTACATGATTGTGTTCTTTCACAGCCTTTCTTACACATTCAACCACACATGCAATACTGATTACACATTTTTAAAATTGTGTCAATGTTGAAATTGTGGTAGAATTCATATCTTGAAAAGACACACTTCTTCCCTTTCTCACCCAGTTATTCAACCTGGTGAGAATTCTTCATGAACACATGGACAATCTTGAAAGTATGTTGCTCAATCCTATCTCTCTCCTGTGCCAGTATTTGTGTTTGATTTCTTGATTTTTTTTTTTCCGCAAGCAAGCGAGAGTGAGCGAGAGTGAGCGATCATGAGACCTGCTTAATGTTTACAGCTTTTACTCTCAGGGCTCAATAACGCGTCAGCTTTTTGTTGTCCCCAACAACAAAATCTGCAACTCTACTGACAGCACGGTTGGGGATTTTAGTCCTCTCATATTTTTTTTAAATGATTAAGAGACTTTGAAGTCACACAGCTGCTTTTTAGTAAAACTATAACAACTAAGGGCTGCACGGTGGTGCAGTGGTTAGCGCTTTTGCCTCAGAGCGAGGAGGTTCCTGGTTCAAATCTCCGCCTGACAGGAGCCTCTCTGTGTGTGGAGTTTGCATGTTCTCCCTGTGCGTGGGTTCTCTCCGGGTACATCGGCTTCCTCCCACAGTCTAAAGATATGCTCGATGGGTTAATTGGTGACTCTACATTGCCCGTATGTGTGAATGTGAGTGTTGCTGGTTGTATGTCAGCCCTGTAATCGACTGGCGAACAGTCCAGGGTGTACCCCGCCTCTCAGCCAATGACAGCTGGGATTGGCTCCAGCCCCCTTGACCCCGAACGGGAAAAAGCGGTATAGATAATGGATGGATACAACAAATAAAATATTAAAGCTTTGACAGTAACTGAATTTAAATCTATAATCTTTGCTATTCTTAATTCCTGATAACAACATGTATTTATTTGTTTCTATCCAAAAGAATTGATCAAATCAAAATAATAAATTTTGGGCTGCATGCTGTTGGCGTTCCCTTATTAGTTATATGTTCCAAAGTGGTCACTACAGCAGAAGACTTGCAATTGTGTGTCGACAATTTCATCCTTATCATGTATAATACTCACTTATCTATGTATTTACATAGTTTGATTATTAATGTGCAGAATTGAATTTCCTGTCTCTGGATTGCAGTTCCTCACGGGGATAGTGATGAAGAGATCCCAGACAGCAGACCGTCTATCGAGTTCTCTGACCTGGACGACGATCTTGAAGAGGAGTACTAATTATGCTTTAAACGTCGGCATGAGGGTAAAAAAAAGGAAGAAAAAAAAAAAAAAGAATTGGGTCAGGGGATCTGAAGTTGAAGGGGGGGCTACTCTGTGCCATATGGTAGCTCACCCAGTTTTTCACACATGCTTCGACATCGTAGTATTCATCTGAAATTCAACAGCAGTGAGAGAGAAACTGAGTGAACCGGACGTCTCGCCTTTTTTGGCTTTTGCAGATATGCAAACTTGAAATGAACTATCGCGTGAAATATTTATGTCAACACCATCACATTTCTGTATCTATGAGAGGGCACTTTATTCAATCATAATAAAATGATAATGCAAGTCTTTTTACCTGTTAATACCACAAGTGCTTTAATGTTGAAATGAGAAGGCAGAGAGTGAAAAGGCAACAATTGATTTCCGATCGCAATGGTTAGATTAGATGAGAGAAGATTTAAAAAAAGAAGTGGTGATATTTTCTGTTATTGTTTCTTTTCCTCCGAGAACATGTTGAATTTACTCCATCAATGGATTTCCTCCTTTTGTTTCAGTGTTTGGAATGCTTTATCCATGTACAAATCTAGTTTCCTGCCTTCAATTTTGAGAATAAAGATTGAATTCAAACTGCCTTTTGTTTACAATTTTCTTTTGAAGTTCACAAAACAAAACATTTCGAATAGGGCTGTGAATCAGGGTAGCGCCAAGATGATAATGATACCTCGCACATGGCCCATGATGATGATGATGATGATGATGATGATAAGATCACAATACAGCGATTCCACAATAATTGTCTTCCTCAGAGTGGTTTGACTGAGGATGACGCTGTGCGACGAAATATTAGTCCTTTGCACCAAAAATTAATTTGCCCTAAATGATTTGTGTGCTTCAGTATTTTCTTTAGATCCTGTCTGAAGCGAGGAGTCCACTCAATTATGTCTTCAGTGGCGATTCTAGAGGCTGGTGGGACTCTAGGCAAAATTAAATTGGGGGGGGCCCTCCAAGCAGCGTTCATTACCATCATGTTTGCATGTGTCCCGATGATTACTCATCTTCCTGTTTCTTTTTTTTTCTCTCTCCTATAGACGGATAATTCCTCTTTAATTTTTATTTATGGACTGTCGTTGGCAAATTTTGGTTTTCACAGCAATCATGCATGCAACACAAAGCAGGGCAAAATGTGCACATTTTGGGCCCCCTACTGGCCTGGGGCCCCAAGCGGTTGCCTGCCTTGCCTGTTGATAAGCGGCACCTCTGTGTTTAACGTCTTAAGGTCCTTCTCTGAGAGCACAGACCTCCATTTGTGGAGTGGCTGAAGCACAATATTGCAACTATATAATGATATTTCAAAATGTCAGATTAACTGAAGAATATAAAATGCCCCTAAAAAGGCAAAGGACATGATTAATGCAACACCTCTTACCATGCTGCATCTCTTAGCTTCTTCTCACCACTGTCCGACATTATCCCGATGTCTTCTTAATCTTACTTCATCCTGCTGTCAACGTCTTCGGCCAATTAACTTCCGTTCACACATCTTCACGGGGAGTCATGAAGTAATGAGAAAAACGATAAGGACAGTGCTCCAAATTTTTTGGATTTAATTGCCACACGAACGCTTCGAGCCGATGCTCTTCTTCAGCGGGTTGAACAGGCAATTTTTCTAACGTCCACAGGTGTGATTAATTTATACTTTGTCCAAGATGGGCATTCCTCCATCGCAGTAGAGGGAGTCTCCACCCAACATCCCACAACACACAACACCCAACCCTCATGAGCTTCCTCAAAACGAGGTACATAGGCCATTCCATACACAATCACAATCAACAACCCACAACAAGCAGTACTCAGTCTCGAGTCTTATAGCCAGTAAAGAACCGCTGTGGTCACTTCACAAAAAACTAATAAATGAAATCTCCACATTTAAACCATTCGGAATGAGGGTACCTAAAGAATGAATCCAAAAGGTTTCTCTCTGTAAAAGGATTCTGTCCCTGTCTCCACCTCTGTGTGGCATATTAATAACTTCAATACCCATATGATGTAAGTCGCTGAGAGTGTGATTACAACGATTATTATTTATTATTATTGCCACTGATGATTTGTCATTATGATTCTGTGTGCATGTTTTTTGTCTATTATTAATGAGTCATGAAGTAATGACACAGTGAGTCAAATAGGTAATGAAATCTGTTTAGAGCACCATTTACATTTTTTTTAAAGGCATTGTCAGTATGATACTGGCACCAGATATTCAATAATTGTACCACGAGTCAGGACAGCAATTCATTGTCATATCCACATTTTGTCCCACCCCTTGTTCCCAAGGAGATACCCCGTGTCAGAAACACATGGTACAGAGATGATTTCTCCTCTCTAAACTGAAGGTCAATAGATGTAAATTTCCCCATTGTGGGATAAATAAAGGATCATCTTATCTTATCTTATCTTATGTACACAAGACTTGAAAGTGCTGCCGCCTACCCAAATGGCCGGGATACACATCTGAGTTTTGCTATCCAAATCACTGATTTGTTTCGCAACTCGGAGTGAAGGGAAATGAATCGTAGTTCAGTCGGATCAGTGAAGTACTTTTAGAAATGCTCAACAGTAATACTCTAAAGACGAAAAGGTAAGATACACTTCAAACACATTTCAGAACGTCTAATATTCTCCACCCCTTGTGAGAAAGGAAACATTTCTGCGTAGTAATGGAAGAGGTCAAGGAACAGCTTTGGTGATACGAATGAATAATGATTAACTCTGATTCAGGCATCAACATGCAACATCCAAACCACCAATAGTTAAGTCTGAGCCTGTGAGGTTTAATATCAACCTCCGAGTGAAACGCTTACACTCAGTAGCCTGTTGTTGTTTATTTCTTTGAGTCATTACCTCTACTATTCAATACATTTGAAATCACAATGCACATTCTGTCTTAGCCTAGGTGTTTACAGTGACACCTTAACATCCCACTCTTAAATGATTGACAGAGACAAGTCTTGGAAGACAGGAAATTTTTATTGAAAGGCTTCTGTACCTGATTTGAGCTGACAGATCTGCTTAGGAGTGAAATAAAAATAAAATAAAACTTATAACAACCCACCAACATTTGGTTTACAACTTGATATGAATGGGTTAACCAGCCGCGTTGAGGCAGTTCTACAAACTGAAAGGAAACTTCAGGCTTTTACACATTGAAACGATCCATCAGAGCATCTTTGGTTCATTCTCAGTTATAAATCACACAGCACATATTTACAAAGCATTCACAGCAAAGGCCAGTGCAAATTTGAACGTCTTTTAACTTCCCTAAACCTCATTGTGCTTTTACATACGACGACATTCTAAAGTGCGTTCTTGCTCAGTAGTTAAGTGCATAGGAAAGTCTAGATACACAGACGCATAAGTCAAACAGGTGTCTGATTCTTTTTTTTTTTTTTTCCAAAATAATCAGCAGGACAGAGATGTCAGATTTTTGTTTTTCATCATTTCTAAACTGACGATTAAAAAGACACGATAAGGTCATCAAACGTTACTTCATCAGTAATTTAACTAAAGGTAACCAATTAACTGGCTCCCATTTGTTCTGAAGTAATGATCCAAAAGGCACATAAAGGATTTTCTGCATGTTTAAAGTCACCGTTCAACTTTGAATACAAATGTTTATTTTGACCATAGTGCAATCTTCCATCCAGAGTGATTTAGGTAATTTGTTCAGGTTTGCAGATTTTGGATTTATCTCAGGGGAAAAACTGGAGGGCAGTGTTTTGTTCAAACTCCTAGAACCACGCTGAGAAGTTTTAAATAAAATCTAAATTAACATTTACACTAGACCTATATCTTTAGTGTCTGCCTTTTGCTTACTGTTGTAGAAAGGTGTCATCATAAAATGATTCTCAGTGACACACTGAGGCACTGTGTGAGTGTTCAAAGATAAAATGTCCGTTATGGGAAAAGGAATAAAGATCGCAGGTCAAAGAGAAAAAGCTTTTGAGAGTAGTTTTAGGTGAACTGGCCTTTAAAAAGTGTATTAATACATTGTAACTTTGGAAATACAATTTTCTGCAGATTTGAAAATACTGAAAGAATAGTTTGAATTATAAAATAATAAATGCACCTTCTGCGTCTGATAGTTTGGAGTCACTCAAATCAGTGCAATTTCACCCCTGTAATGAGGCTAAAGGGGAATATTTGTAAGGTTGCATACTTCTGTAAATCAACTCAAAAAACTTTTTACAATCTACATACAAAAGAGAAAAAAAAAAAATCCCACCCATGTCAACGTTCAACATTTAAGAGAAAGCCTCAGCTCCCATATTTACATTAGGTAGATCACAGGGCTCTTATTAAACACACATTTTAAGAAACTGTTTTGGCCGATATTCACAATTCACTAACAATATTTACAGTTTAACACATAATTGGAGAGAGTCTGCAGGCTTGAGCAGGATAAATAAATAATTTTAAAAAAAGTGGGAAAAGGCTGCATCCGCTCTTGCTGAACAGTACTAAAAATGCACAGGAGGGCAGGCACATGGACACTCCCTGAGGCCGGTTAATGAAGCTAGCTTAGTCAGTTTCTGTTATAATACTGTTGGCGTCCGAATCATCAAACGTCCTCTTGTAGCGAACAGTAGAAGTGAAGTAAGATCTTTTCTTCTTATAGATGACGAAGCCGATGGTTAGAAGGAGAGCGAGGAGGACCACAATGAAGAGGCCGAGTGCGACGGGGGAGCCTGTAGATTCTGAGGACCAAAAAGTGTAGGCAGTCAGTCGTCAGTCAGACAGTTCATGTTTGAGGGCAGCTCAGGTTTTTTTTAATTATTTTTTTTTTTAATCAAATCAGACACTGTGTGAGACTAAGAAATTAAAGATGAACATTTGTGTGTGCGTAAATGTGCAAAATCTGCACAGTTAACCATAAAGTACAGAACTTGTTCTTTTAGCTTTAATGATGACATGATGAAATAAATGTATGCCAGTCAAATCTCTAAATATAAAGCTGCAGCTGAGTTAAGCATAACAACCTGAGTGAGGGTGACAAAGCGAGTCCTGTAAAAACAATGTAAAAAAAAAAAAAAAAAGTTCGAAAACCACTTCATGTGGACTCAAACAATGGCTAAAATCAAAACCACAGTGCTCACATGAATAGCTTCTGACTGGTTTATTGTTTGATCATGCTGCCTTTGCTCTACAGTTTATGTGTATTTATTTATTCTCTCCTTATTGTTTTATCATTTTTCTCCCTATCTTAATTGTTTTCTTTTCAAAAGCCTCCTGTGGACAGGTGTTGAGAACTAGCATGCTTGCTAAAACACTTAAGCAATGCATCTGGTTCGTCCAATGTATCTGTGATGTCCATGCCAAATAAAGTCTATTATTATTATTATTATTATTATTATTATTATTATGTTTGTGATACTCACTTGCTTTAGTTTTGCACACAACTCTACTGTGGCTAGCCTCACAGTTCACAAGATTCCAGATTCCTTTTTCATCTCCGGCGATCATGACGGCACAACGCGGCTCTGACTTCTTCCCATTGAGCAGGGACTCAGACTTCCAGTTAGAAAAGGACAGAGTGGAGCCGTCCTGCCAGGACACAGGCTTACCTGAGAGGAAGGAGAGCAGATAAGGAGACTGGGAAGGCTGAAGCTGTGGATGCTTGTGCACAGTGCATCCTGGTACATGTAGGCATTGTCGACAGGAGCACTCTGCTTTCTTGGTAATGATAGTGATACAACACTGACTAAAATGAACAACAACACTGTTATGAGTCTTAATTTATTGTTTCCACCAACTTCTAGGAGAAACTTTTGTCAAGGACAACAGCTGCCTCCATTGGGTGAAAACGATGCAGCAAAAAAAGAAAAAAAAAAGCATGGATATGATCACAATTGAAATAGTGAAAAACTGCCGATCGGACACGTGTTGTTTCCAAAACTCTTACAAAAAAATTAGATAAGGTGTACCTTGAGAATCAAAGTCCATGGCGAGCCATGCTCGGCTGGTGATGAGAGGATCATCAGACATGTAGTTTGAGACAAAGTCGTTCTCCTCTGTGGATTTTATGTTCAGCAGCTGAGCATCTGTTGGAAGAACAATACAAAAAAAAAAAAAAAAAGTGAACTAAAGTTGCTTGAGATGAATACTAATTATAACCCTTCATACACTTAACAACAGCTCACCCATGCCCTGACAGATGCCTTTGGCCTGCTGCATGCTGTACACGCTGTAGTTGTAGAAGCTCATGTTGAAGGCATAGCAGTGATCCTCATGCTGCACCCACATGGACACGCCGTTGCTCTGAGGGCAGCGATTGGCCTCTGGGGCAGCCTGCAGTCTGGCTCCTGATTCATGACAGGAACAAGATGGACAATAAACAATGACACAAAAACACACACTTATTGTAGATGTATTAGCTGCATTCCTTTCCTTTCACAAAATGATTTAAAGTGGCAGTAAGCAACATGACAATCATGTGGAAAAAAGCTTCTGCCTCCCTGCTACTTCATATCTTTTATATTAACTCAAGTTTTTATTTGTTTTAAGATTTATTTAGTTTTAATGAACTGATGTTGCCTACTGTAGCTTCAAGTTTTTGTACTTGTTACAAAGGTGCTCGTTTCTTCAGAACTTCTTCAGCGATTGCCTTTCTCTATGCTATGAAGGAGGAATGATGAGGTTTTACATATTAAACATGTTGGTGTCTTACTCTGTGAAGGGGTTGTGACGGTGGTGGTGTAGCAGATGGCTCCATCTACCAGAGTGTTGCAGCTGGTCCTCACCCAGGCTCCTGAAGGTGTTACAAAGACACAGCTGGCCTCTTGTTTGCCTGTGCTCGAGCCCTCCAGTAATTCAGAGACGGTGGCTTTGAAGTCAAACTTGGTTCCATCAGACCACTCGTAGGCCGAGCCGCTAACCTGCAAGGAGACAGCGGACTGTCGTGTTAACTCATCTGGTTGGAGGTTCAATTATGCACAAGAAGTCCGAATGTACTGTACTTTGGACAATCTTTAGTGTCTTATATTCTCAGATGTAAGCAATGCTTTTTTTTTTATTCTTAACCCTTACGTCCTGGTTCGACAGCCCAATCCAGAGCGGGAAGCCGTCCGTCTTAGCGATACGCTCCATATGGGCGCTGTGCAAGGCGTCGTGAACACTTGCAAGGTGGCCTCCTCGCTGACCACACTCTTCCAGAGCCTGGTACCAGCTCAACTTTCTCTTTATGACCTCATAAGACAAGTTGTCGTAATGTTGGAGGTCCCTGGATGACTGGTTGTACTCCTGTTTAGGTTCTTGGGAGGAAAGGAAGACAACATGTTGTGAGTGAAGAGCATCATAGAAGTGGATGGATAGATGCATGATTGAATGTCAAATGTAATGCACCAACCTTTGTCCAGTTTGCAGGTCACTATTGTTCGTTGTTTGAACTCGGAGAATAACCTGGGGTTTTCAATGAGAATCCAGTTGCTGTCAAAAGTAACACCAGCCAAGAACGGTCCTTTCACATCTGGCCTGCCATTTGCCCAGTTGGAATATTGGACGTATGTGCCGTCATACCACTTCATTTGGTTCTCTACAGAAGAACACAATCACTGTAAACACTTGTGAGAAGAGTATCACTGCTCATATAGTTCATTGAGTTGAGACAGATAATGTACTGCTGCTTGAAAAACAAAACAAAATGTATCAAGATGTTGTTAAAAGTACTTATAGTGACCACATCTACATAGACATCAGTAGGAGGATTAAAACAAAATACAAACCGTTCTCAACTTTGAACATCCCCAACCACACAAACTGGACCAAGTTTCGAAATGGTGTGAGTTGCTGCTGGATAAAATCATTCTCCTCTGCGTTTCTGATGGTTAGGATTTCTGCATCTGCATCTGAAACATGAAGGCCTCATCATCATCACCAGCTGCAGCTTAACCAACATCTGTCTAAAGCCACTGATTAAATCTCCCCACAAGAACATTTGCCACGTGTCGTGAATCCCTTACGAAGTTTTTGGCAGGTCTGTTGACTCTTCCCCTGGTTAAAACTCTCCCATCTGGAGGAGACCAGCTGGAAAGAGTAGCAGTTGTTCTTGAAGGGGATCCAGTTTGGACCGTTAATCTTATGAGGGCACTTCACTGCTACATCCTCCGGAGTGGTGATGGTCTCCTCTGTAACACACATGTTCATATCTTTATATTTTCAGAATGTCCGCATACCGTTGGTCCAAAACATAAGAGAAAAGATTTAAAGGAAGAATGTGCAACATTTTACACACAAATACAGCAGAAATCGAGTATATCCTGTTGGATATAAATGTCTCTCTGAGTCACTGCTGTCTACAATGAGTGAGAAGAGAGAGTCCCGCTGGTTGTTATTGTCAGAGCCGTGTTTACATCATGTTTACATGGACGGGACGGCACTGCGTATAAAAGCTGTTATAATCAAGGACTAGAGAAAAGAAGAATAACATACCCACTGCTTATTCTGATGTCACATAAGTGTCTTTAGATCATCATTCTGTGTCAATTAATGTGCAATATGAAGCTATGAGTTAACCAAAGTGTGCCAACATTAGCCTGCTAACACAAAAAATGCGGGACACAAGCAGTTGCCGATCGAACCAAGAAATTTTTTTTCCGCTCTTGCAAACGCGTGTGGAGGGGGGAGGGGGGTTGGAGGTGTGCCACTGGAGGAGAGTGGAGGGTTTAGAATAAGGGAGGTGCTGCCAAAGAGAAGTTTGTTTTGGTTTCATGCTGGTGCTCAAGGGCGACATCTACTGGTTTAAAAAGTCACACATTCTTCCTTTAAGGACATAAGAAATTGTAAAGTTCTCAAAGAATAACAAGTAAAAGGAAATGCTAAGTGATGTCACCTGAATCTCACTTTTTATATGAATGTGTTTGATGACTTGATGACTATGATGATCTTTGTTTTGTTTTTTTTATCCATCTTTTATCAGTTTCTTTTCCTCTGTATTGAAATAGTGAATTAGTAAATTAGGTCCAAAAGAGGTTTAAATTTAGACACTTGATACACAGGAAGGATTTAAATAAAGTGGAGAATGGGGGCCGAAAGAAAGTCAAAACACTCCTTACACTCGAAATGTCAATCAACATAAAAGTTTACAAATCAGTTAACTTCTTTTATGGCCTCATAATGGAAATCCAGTTTCACATTAAGAACTCGATTGACTTATAATTCAGCAGTTGTTCATTCAAAACTTGCTTGTTTTTGTTTTGTTGTTAAGCCAAACTGATTAAGGCCCATAAACGAACTCTACATCCTGTTAATGAGAGGAATCAACAGGGTTTAATAAGTGTAACACTTTAACTATGTACAATAAACAACCTGAGCTAAAGCTGCTTCAGCTACACGCCTTCATGTTACTTTAACAAGTTCTCACCACTCTGCTATAGAGACGCAGCCACACAAACACAAAGGGTTCATTACAAAAACACACTTCTTTCACATTTTCTTCTGTGGGGATTTGAAAAACTTTTCCTCTTATAAAAAGTGTTTTACCAAATACAATTCCATCATAAGTGGGCATTGGCTATCTGAGGAGGTAGAACAGGCATTACTGTTTAAGTGTATAATATATCCAAACTCACCATGTGGTTTGTGGCAGATAGCGCCCCCTAGCTCCTCCTCGCACTCTGTGGCTTTCCAGAAGCCATCGGTGTCTAAGTAGACGCAGGAGCCGCTGGTGACATCAGTTGACCAGCGACTGAACAGAGTGTGACTGTGGTCAGTCCAGCGGTAGTGGATCCCATCCTGACCACACAAAAAACATTTTAAACCATTTTTATGTTTTTAAGTTGTAGATTATCATTTAGGAAACCCCTTCTTAGACACACTTACGTCTTCACTAAAGAGGACCGATCCACATGGGTGTGTTGGCACGGCTCACGTGCACGGTCAGGGTGGATTGCAGGAAGGTATCGGCCACACTCGCCAAGTCCATTTTATTGCTTCTGCACTGCTCCAAGGCCTCAAACCAGGTGAGGTTTTTGGCGAGTAGCAGGATGGTGTGGTTATTGACATTAAAGGACTCTTTGGGTATGCTGGGCACCTCGGGTTTATCTGAAATATTGTTTTTAAAGAACATGAAGTTATATGGCGTATAAATATTTATCTGAGAACACAATGCCTTTTATTCAAGATAAGAGGGAAAGAGATGATGAACTGTTGGTTGGATCACACTCAGACATGGCATCAGGTCTAGGCACCAGCCTTATTATCTTTAAGCTTCAAACTATGTGCATAATTCTTACCCTTTTACGATGTGTTTTCAAGGATCGACACATAAGGCTTCAAAATCTTTCATTAAACATGAATTGGACAAACCACAGCATGCAACTCCATTCAGTAAAATCAAAGGGTTTGAAGTATTGAGTTACCTGCATAGTGCTGACAAACGCCTAAATGCTGATACTGTGTGCAGGAAGTGTAGTCCCAGGTACCCAGCATGGCGGAGTGGGGGTTACTGATCATAAACACACACAGATCCATACTCGCTGGATCCCATGTCTAAAACAAGGACAAATAGAAATGGACTCTGAATTTAAAAGCTGTTTGGATGTTTTTTCAGTGAAAAGAAAAGGCTTAAGTGAAGAATTGACTCTATCTAATGCTCATTGCAGAATGGATAAAGATACTGTAAGGCAGCATAAATGCTCTTAGTTTGAGGCTTGGACTCCGCCCACTTACATTGACTTTAATTGCCCTGTGCATGCCCAGGAGCAGAGGGTTAAAATTCAGGTAGTTAACCGGGGAATTGTCCATCCACTCAGGGTCGTCACGTTTGATTTTCAGACCAATCCATATCCTGTCCATGTTCCTCATTCCCGGCAGAAGAGTGGTGATGAAGTCTGAAACACACACACACACACAAACACGCAAACACACACAATAGGACAACAATTATTTTTGTTCAAAAGAGCATCTAACTCTAAGAAATGTATCATTTATGAGAAAAAACATTAGATATTAAATCATGATGGGTGAGTTAAGCATGCTTGTGTTGTTCATTAAACACTGAATAAACAAAATTAGGTGGTCTCACCTTGCTCCACCTGATCTGATATAGTGACTAGCGTTCCCCTCACAGAATGACATTCATCATTGCCATACTTGAATGAAACAGGCTTCTGGCTCCTCATCAGAGTGTAGCACTAAAAAACAACAGGTTCATATAAATGAATGTCGTAAAGTCACATATAAATCTCTGTACCACGATTAGTGAGTCGAATTAAGGATAAAGAGAGACGTACATTAAAATGTGAAATAGATGTAGATGTAGATGTTCAGTGGGCCCACTCCAAGTTATACATGTTTAAATGTTCATCCATCCAGCTGAACAATCATTTTGTATTTGAAGCAAACCAACGTTAGCAATATGTAAGGACTGATTCAGATGTACAATTTAAGTTATTTTGTAAATAAATCCTTGTGCAAAGCCGGGGCCATAGCTCGGGTTAATGGGCCTGCTCTGTCATTTTTAAATCTAGAGAACGGAGATGAAGTTGTTATGAGGGCTGTGCCACTAAACCGCAGCAATGCACAACAACTATCAGCACAGGTATGTAAACATTAACCTGCATAATGTGTGTGTGTGTGTGTGAGACTGTTTACAGTTGTCTGACAGCGCACTGCTGTTAAAAAGCTAAAAAAGTTCAGTGCTAGTTTTTAGAATTTCAAGTGTTATGTGTTGAATCGTATTTCGTTATTTGCAGTCATGTTTTGTTGGGAGAGTGTGCCATGTTTCATTACGTATGTCGCAAAGTGCCACACATTTGAGCTGCATTCAGAATAGTCGTCGATTTCATCATACGCACACAATACAGTTTTGTACGTCTAAAACCGCAAACTGCAAAACTTGTTGACTTGCAGGTAGAATTGATTTAAAGGCAAAAGTTCTCATTACAGAGTTTTATAGTGGACTCTGTCCACCATTTCTCTCATTCTTCTACGTCATGCCTTGCCTCCTGAGACCCCCCCCCACCCCTCCCGTCCAACAGGGTCAGCCTCCCGCTGTGAGGTGCATGTGAGAACAGCCCACTCTTTCAGGGGCACTGCTTGAAATTCTGTCGAAATTTGTCAGAAAGTTGACTTGTCTGTATGTACATTTCTATTTCATCGTCATGGAAACTAGTTGACATCTCCGGCGCTATTTGGCTTGCTCGTATATTAGAATGTTAGAATACGAGTTCGTCTTGTTTTTGCTTGTGCAGTGATCTAAAGGTAAACAAGGATCACACCTTGTTTCTGAATGACAGAGAGTTGTTTCCACATGGCAGTTCTCCGGGCTGCGGCTCCAGAGGGTTTATCTCCACTGACGTGATGTTGTGTCTCTCGCACACAAAAGACAATCGCTGGCGACAACTGCGCTCATGCTCTGCAAGTAAACATGTGATAGAAATGTGTGGATTAGTAAAAGAGACTGAAGTCCCAGCCTCTCAAATCACATACAGTAATGTTCATCAGAGGTTTTTTTTGCTCTCTGAAATGATTAAAGTCGAGTTTATGTCTTTCTTTTTTTCTGGCTCACGCTGCTCTGAACAAGTTTCCAAAACATTTGACTATTTTCTTTTTTGTTGTTGTTATTTTTTGTTGTTGTTTTAAGCTGAGTTGTGAGTAACCTCATCATTATTTTAAATATCAGTTTTTAAATACAGCTGGGCGGCAGTAGCTCAGTCTGTAGGGACTTGGGTTGGGAACCAGAGGATTACCAGATCAAGTCCCGATGCGGACCAAATCTGAAAATTGGTCTGGTAACTGGAGAGGTGGTAGTTCACTTCCTGAGCACTGCCAAGGTGCCCTTGAGCAAGGCACCAACACCCCCCCCACCACCACCACCAGCTCAGGATCAATAAAATACATCTTCTTCTAAATTCTCACTTTTGGGCTGTGTTTAAAATTCAGAGCATATTTTTGAGTAAACTGTCTTTGGATCTGACAAAACCCTGTCCTGCCCTCTTTAAACCAGTGAGAAGAGTCAAAATAAAAACAAAAATAAAACATATTTTCAGCCAAACAACCAAAAACAAATCACATTTTGGCAGAACTCTTTGTTTTCACACAGCTCTCTCTCTCATGCTGACATGCTGATTGAGAAAATACGCTTTAGGGACTTTATTGTCTTTTTCTTTTCACAGATTCAATCGGCTGGAACGTCAAGTTTTAGGTGGAGTGAACCCTTTTTATTAGGTATTATGTTTTCTATTGGCAAAGAAAACTACATTGGATACATTTGACTCTCTTGCATTATCATATTATCCCAAAGCTGTGTGATATTGATACAGATCCAACTAAGCCAAAAGTAAGTGACCTTTTCATCAATATGCATGATCCATTTCTTCAACTGTTTGAGAGTGACTGAGTGAGAAGTGATTGTTAAAGTGAATAAATCCCTGAATCCTCCTCGACTGCACAGAAACACTATCATCCTTACTCACCTGGGAAATAGTTTTCAGGACTAGTGGAGGTGCATTGGCCCAGGAAAAGGGAGTGATAAAAGTACATCTGGGTGTACCTAGAAGAAAAACAAAGATTTCATTACATTTTTCTAATTTTAATTACATCAGTGTTGGCAGCATTAACATCTGGTCCGTTGTGTTAGTGAGTGTTCTGGCTTACGTCATGGGGAATATCTTCCCAGGCTCTCTCAGATCCACCCACCAGCTATGCTTGGAGGAACTCGACTTCTGTTCACATAAAGAAAAATGATAAAGAGTTTATAAAGTGCTTTACACTTGAACTTAAGAGGCTGTAATCTCAAAGAGAACATCAAGCAGGCAGCATATAGCACATTCAAGAAAACAACAAAAACATGAGTGTGAACATGGGAAAATATACCTCACCAAGAAAATACCTTTTTCAATACAAGGTTTGACTCTTATTACATAAACATACTAAAAGCATGTCAGGGAGTTCTTCAAGGGAAGTGTCTACAAGTGTTTTGTATATTCATGTTTTTATTGTTTCCCTCGTGGTTAGTCAAGCAGAAGAATTTGTTCTGCTTTGTATTTATTGCTTCCAGTTGTGATCTCATGAAAAATTGCTCCATTACCAGTAGAAAGAGGAAAGAATTACTAAGGTTATTATGTCTTTCAAATCAACTACAGATGCTCACAGAGAGAAAAAAGGAGAACATGGTGAACTGTGAAAAGTAAAAAAAAAAATCAACAACACTCCAAACAAGTGTTGCAGTACTCGAAAATCGGTCTCGGTCTTGTCTCGGACTCGTAAACATTTTTTACTCTGTGTTGTCTTGGTCTCAGACTGGGCAGAGTCTGGATTTTAAATCAAGACCGGTCACTGACATTGATATTAATTGTCTCGGTCTCGCCTTGCCTTGGTCTTGGTCTTGGCTCGGTCTCGATCCCTTAATGTCTTAGTCTTGTCTCCCTCTTGGAGCACTCTGGTCTCGGGTATGTTTTGGTCTCGGTTAGTGTAGTCTCGACTATAACACTTCTTTAACCACATAACTGCATTGAAATTGTTTTGGAATTGATCATTTTCTCAACTCCACCCTGAAACAGCACTGTCCAAACAAAGCCTCAAAAGCGCTGCCAAGCTTCAGCTCCTAACACAAGTTCTAGGCTGGAGTCTTTCGGATGAGGCTAAAATAAAGGCTGTACTGAGAACATGCAGAGTTTGAATGATGGAGGGTGCTGTCTATGTCTGTACAAAACAGGTGTCCTTAAGAGAGTGAGTCATTTAATGACATTGTTTTCTTCTCTAGCTTAAGCTCAATGCAACAGCATGCCTGGCTAACCATGGCTTATGTGTCAAATCAAATAAGTCTGGAAAGTAAAATGTAGACATTTTTCAGCCCAATAAAGATGTTTCATTGTCAGCAATAGCTCATGCTAATTTTTACAATTACTACTATCCGTTTTTATTCTTACTTTTCAATCAATCCATGCTGTTTTATTAACTTGTTGATGTTGTAAAGCACTTTGAAACCTGCTACATAAATCATGCATAATAAATCATGTTTCCTATTATTATTACGCTTTATAGCTACCGGTACTGCTAGTCCAAACACATGGTGACAGTGTTCATCTCAGCTGAAAAATACGCAATTAAAAACTGAGGCGCCTGCATTTCCTACCTCTGACTGAAATAAAGAGCCCATTGTCTCAGATAAAAAGATTTTTGATAAGTAACCTTCCACTGTTCTTACTGTAAACATTTCAGTTATCCTAATACCCAGAGCGAAACAGGTGTAGCAAATATAACCACGAGGAGCGGGGGTTTATCTGGTTTGACAACATTCCTATGAGATACAGTCTCCTGTCACTTACTTCCACTATGTAGTCATGGATTCGTCTGGCAGCCGTTGAGCCGATCGGTGCAGCCAGCTTGCTTCCATTTGCGCTGCAAAAGAGCTGGGCCTCTTCAAAAGTCAGCCGTGGCTCTTTCACAAACCAAAACTCTGCTCCATCTACAAAGATGGACGACTCGTGGTGCCCGTCTGAAATGAACGAAAACAGCACTTAAATCATGACAGACACGTAACGACCAAATGTTTCTGCAAGGATGAAATTATTCACCAAGTACATCACTGATTGAGCCAACTTACTCGATCAAAAAAAAATCAATAGAATTTTAACACAGATACTGACAAAAAAAAGAAAAGGTCATTACCGGGATTATACCACTCTGGTTCCTTTGGTGTCTTTCCTGTAGACGCATCAACAAAGAAAGTAAGACGCAGAATACAACCACACTGAAAAAGTAAAAACATTATGTTGTGCTCCAATAGAGTCATTTATAATGCCGTACACTTTGAAATCACATGTGGAGGAATCCCTATGTTCACTTTATTACTAACAAACATCCTTTACTCTGGCACGCGCACACACACACACACACACACACACACACACACACACACACACACACACACACACACACACACACACACACACACACACACACACACACACACACACACACACACACACACACACACACACACACACACACACACACACACACACACACACACACACACACACACAGCAGTGCTGGTATTCTTACCGCGGGGTATTTGACAGACCCACTCCAGCCTGGCGTCACAGTGAAATGGTGTGGAGTAGAACGGTGTGGGAGGCAAGTCGTGGAGCAGATACACAAAGAGGTGCTTCAACGTGCTCTTCGCTGTCTGAAGAGGACACCGTTTGTTTATCATCAAAGAAGAAGAACACAACAAAAGCAGCATCACAACTCTGACACCGCAGATAGTTAAGGAGAGAAGAAGTGCTTATCTGACAACACAGTCAGATGTGTGTATGTGTGTGTGTGTGTGTGTGTGTGTGTGTGTGTGTGTGTGTGTGTGTGTGTGTGTGTGTGTGTGTGTGTGTGTGTGTGTGTGTGTGTGTGTTCTGTCTGGCTGGGATTTCTGAGATTTGTTTCAGGAGAGCTTGAAGAACATGAAATCAGTAATGCACAAAAGGGGGTCATATTTCAGCAGTAGCTCTTCTGCTGACTGCCACAAACAGCTGAGCAAATGGCCTTTAATCCGAGATCAGGCACTATAATAAACAAGAGATAAGAGGCTAAACAAGAAAACTCTCTATTACATTTAGAATAATTTAGTTCACCATTTAGTATTTATCCACCCAGCCCACCTTGAATGCAGCGCAGTCACGACTGTACGCATCGTCCTCGTGGAAATCTTGGTGCAAAACATCCATTGACACCTATGGAGACATGAATAAACAGATTCAGCATGAGGGAAAAAAAACATTTGTGCTGCAATAAGTCTGATTAAACCACATATGGAGATTTGGAGAAAACTAGAGATGCTATACTGTAGGGCTACAAACTAGGAACTACAGTAAACTAAGAAAGGTTATTGATGATCTGTTTTAAAGAATTTTAAGGCTTGACTTTTTTTTTTTTTTTAAACTGAAAAGCCCTCAAAAATATAAAAAAAAATAAATGTTCTGAGAATATGTGAGGGATGAGGATTAAAGATGTATTTTGGAGGGTTTTCACCTTTATAGGATAGGACAGTGGATAGAAGAAACCAGGAAGAGAGAGAGTAAGGAGCAAAGAGCCAGAGACAAGACTCGAACCTGCTGTGAGGAACACAGCCTCCGTACATGGGGCGCAATTTAACCACTAGGCCATCTGTGCCACAGGGATTTGGATTAAAGATCGGGGTTATACTTACAGGCTGGCCATTGCTCCACTGCCAGGAACGATCAGCCGGGTTTCTCCTATTCAGGCCAACCCAGAAGTAGCGATTATCACTGCAACAAGCACACAGAGCAAAAACACAGTCAGCCATTACACATGATCAATCTTATTCAAGGAGAAAACATATATATGTATATATTTTAATTATTTAAAGTTTTATATTTTGAAAGGGGTGTTGGCCTTATAGCCTCAGAAATAATAGTTTAAAAGTGCATGTGTGTGAAAACCCTACCTGATGGTTTCTCTCATGATGCTGTGCAGAGTCCTCATCTCAGCGTTACTGGTGAAACTGGGCAGGTGTGCTCCCAGAGCCTGGCAGAACCTCTCAGCCTCCTCCCAGGAGCGTTTCCTGCTCAGCCTTTCCTCATGAAACATCTGAGAAGGTAAAACAACGATGAAGAGCAGATACTGAACCTGTTCTTTCACAGTAACAGACTGGAGCAGATTGTAAAGTCAGAAGTGACTTCCTGTACAATAAGGGCGCACTCACACTAGGCTCGGTTGCTCCGTACCGGGCTGAAGCACAATTGCCCCCCCCCCGAATTCTTCATTTAAATTTCTACTAGAACCGTACTACCCAGTCACAGTTATAAACACACACACACCTTGTAGCAGTATTTATAGTTTGGTTGGGACAGCCATCCATTAGGACAGCTCATGTTGAGGTTCGGCTCTACGTCTGGAGGTGGAGGTGGACTGAGGTCTATTCGACAAATGGTACCAGCCTTAAAAAAGGTACAGTTTTTCACCTCCCACTTGCCCAGAGGTTTAGTAGTGGAAACCACCGCACAACCACCGTCGTGACCTGAAAAACACATTTTGATAAGACAAAAAGAAGTTACTTTCATTGGGAGAAATTGCATACACGTATATTGTGTTTTTACAGTATGAAAAAAAAATGCAGATCCCAAATGAACATAAAGGCAGAAGTCAAACACATTGACACACACGTAAAATGCATATTAACATACATGTAACTACTAGTCTGAGACATTTTTGAGGTTTAACACTTGAAATTTCTTTCAGTAAATGAATTAGTCAGAACCACAAAACTACAAGAAATACAATATTTCTCAAAGAGAATCAAGTGCAGCCCATAACAGATAAGTCCCGTTTAAGGTACTGAGCAAACAAAAGAGGTGGTGTTTGTACTAACTTGGTTCAAACCAGCCCCAGTTGGTGTATGAAACCACACCCGGTGATCCATCCTGGTTCTGCCACTGGTACTCCCCCGTGTTGTTAATATCCTGCAGCCCGATCCAAAAGTACTGAGGTTCTTTGCTGAACTGCTCAGTCAGCAGACGGCTGATGAAGGCCTGCTCAAACCTGCACAGAACAGTCAAATGTGAGTGACTCATTCTGAACAAACACAGAAAAGTGAGCCGACGTGTTTCAGAACCATGTGTGATAAATGAATGATACCCTTTTCATACAGGCAGAAATGGAAGTCTGAAATGGTTGGTGTGCAGCAGCTGATCAGTGTCAGTCCCCAGAAGCACAAAGCCTTACCTGTTTCTTATAGTGATGTTGCAGCGATCTTTGAAGGACACTTGTTTGGTGTTCAGTTGATAACAGGAGTTGCCGTGCCTCCTCCAACCCTGAGGGAATGACAACAGCAAGATGCTGTTAATTATTTATGCCACAATCAATTTACAGCGCATCACTTTCATGCACAGTCACTGTTTCTGATACTCAGTTGTTACCAATGGAAAGAAAAACAGAGAGCAATCCAATCAATATTTTGTTTTTGTACTGAACTTTTGTACTACTCAATTATGTCACACCTATAACGTACAGCTAATGATGACTGCATATCTAATACACTTGTATGGCTAACTACATCTCTTACAGGATTAGACGTTTAATGATTATTGCTAACCTATGCATGTAGGTCAAGATTTTATTCATGGGAGGCCTTGCAAACATGTGAGGGAATGAACAAATGCTGCATCTGTCTTTGGAAACACTTTTAAATGTTTAAATGTTCATTAAGGTTAGCCAACACTCACATCCTCAAAGCGACATCCGGCCTGTGTCGCAGTTTCGTTAACCTCTCCTTTCTTCTGACACAAAAAAGGCTGCTTCACTGTGCAGCCCTTAACCTGCCAAGCATGGAGCTGTAGAGAGCAGACGCAGTTTGATTTTGCAACCCTTGTACAAAGAAACTTTTTTTTTTTTTTTTACAGAAGATCAAAAGAAGAAAGAAACACACACACTCCCTACAAACAGGCCCAACAATGGATGGGGTTTTACATAAGTACACGCACGCACACACACACACCTCTCCAGAGTAGACAACACAGCTGGTGTCCTCGATGGGTTGAACTGGCTGGTTTCGGTCCCAGTAGGTGAAGGTGACAGGTGCCTTGTCAATCCATTTGAAGACTGTGAAGTTTACACCTGCCCCAATCAGACCGATCCACACGTCCAAAAACAGGCCGTCTGATAGACCACAACACACACACACACACACACACACACACACACACACACACACACACACACACACACACACACACACACACACACACACACACACACACACACACACACACACACACACACACACACACACACACACACACACACACACACACACACACACACACACACACACACACACACACACACACACACACACACACACACACAGAGGAGAATCATGTATGAAGACTTTACAATCAAACAGTGTGGGCAGGGGTCTGGACACATACAATGGTGTTTTTTTTTTGTTTTTTTTTATGTGTTGCTTTACCGGCATGGAAATTAGTGCTGATCATCTCTTTGCTGTCTATGGAGTGAAAGCTGGCCAGGGAGCCCCCTCCTCCTCCCTCCACGAGGCTACAGTGCTGCTGGGCGGCCGTAAAGTCTCGAGGTGTGTCTTTCACTAACTTGTAGCACCAGCCGTTCCATGGGACCCAGCCTTTTTGACACACTGTTTCTTTATAAACCAGAGACTCTGTACAGAGGGAGCATAGGAAGGCACATCTCAAAATCACAACTTGTCCTAAAAGAGTTTAACGATCGGAAACAAAGAAACATGAGGGACGCATTCAGCTGATGAGTTAGCCGTCTCCATCTGGACAAATGGAGGAAGTTAGAATGGGGTCGACTGGCGCTTCGCAATAAAGAGATAAACTACTGCTGTGAGAAACCAGAAATGTAAGAAAAAGAAACAAAACTACAGCGTTACATGGTTAGTCAGTCCAACGCTCCAGTCTTGCCTGCATCATCATGATATTGGAATCATTCCCATTTAATTTAGTAAACATTTCCTGTTGTGCACCATCAGGTTCACAATAGTGGCTTGGACTGAAATGTCTCTAAAGTCATGGATGCATTGTCTAAAATGTTAACATGCTAACATGTCAAGTTATTTATGTCCAAGACTTCAAATTACAAAGTGGATGTCCTCCAGTCAGCTTAAAGTGTACTTTATTTTAGTAACAAATACTAACAAGGAGGGCTGGGAATCTTTGGGTGTGTCACGATTCATTTTCGATTCTTGGGGTCACGATTCGATTCAGAATCTATTTTCGGTTCAAAAGGATTCTGGATTCATGATTGAGTCTATTTTTGAATTAGTACATACTTAAGGATCTACTCCAGTCATCTGTGAGACTGGCTGAATTTCTTGCTGCTCCATTTGGCATTCTACTGAGTTAAAGAGCTAGCTTCAGCACTTAGCAGGGAGTGACTGATTAGCCAAAAAAAGAAAAAAAAAAAGATTTTTGGAAGTTATGAATCTATGTATAATCTCACAAGATAAGAATCTTGATTTTTAAATTAATTGATTTTTTTTTTTCCCCACCGCTACTTACAAGCTTAACATTATACCTGCTTGGCATCAACATGTTAGCATTGAGTGCAACCTCAAAGAGCTGCTAGCATGGCTCTGGATGGTTGGTTTTATTTTGTAAAAAGGTCTAAGAGGAAATGTGAAGAGCGAAGGTGAAGGGAAGCAGCTCACCAACCTGTTGTTTCTGTGTGTGTGTCAGAAGCGTTGACTTTTTTCTTGCAGATGTATGGCAGCCGAAAGCTGCACGCCTCAGATTCATAATTCTGATTGGAGTTCAGGACTCCGCAGTCTGACTCATCAATCGAAGATGACGCTGGCATTCCTGTCAAACACACGGCAAATACAAAATAAAATGACACACTGACTGTGACAGCAAGACATAGGGGATCATCAAAGAAAATGTTGGAAGCTGCTGTAACAGTTCCAACACTGTGCTGCTGGTAGAAACATGGACATGTTGTGAAGGGCAGTGACCTCAAGGAGCTCATGTCAGAAAACGACTAGATGGCTGCTGAAATTCAAATACAGTGTAAGAAAAACAGACAGCTAACATAACACAATAGCTACGAGGTTTTCATAAAGCCCTCCATTCAGAGCTATTAATGGGTTATTCAGCTACGCAAAACAATCCCCATGCCACACTGTGTCCAAAAACAAGGCACAATCAGCTTCTCTTAACACTAGCCTCATTGTTTCTCGGACTGTCACCACATTTCAGTTTAGTCGTTTATTTAAAAGGGTAGCACCAACAGCAGCTCACAGCATGAGGCAGGTTTTATTTCTCAGAGGAGCAGGTGTTTCAGGGAACAGAAAGTGGTTCAGTAGAACAGTTTCCTGCTCATTAAGTTGCAGAATCTTTTTTTGAATGTTTTGTGTTCATCTTTATTTGACGCTTCAGGGGAGGCAGACAGTAAAGCAGAGGGATAATTGCGATGCCCTAGCCGCCACTCAGTGTTGCTGGAAGCGTTGGGATTACTAACAGGCGCTCCACGTTTTTTAAAATCTCTGCACCTTTTTACCTTCAAGAGTCATTTTTCATTTTCAATAAGGCAAATAACTGAAAGTAATTCAGAGGGAAGACAAAGGCGGGGGAGGGGGAGAACAGAGGAACACAGTAACCATCATCACCTGTTTCCCAGCGCAGGACGGAAAGAGGCGAGCCGTCTGACCACTGCCAGCCCTGAGAGGTGTCTAACTGGTGCAGGCCGATCCACATCCTCTCGGGCATTCTGTCAAGGCCGGCCAAAACTGCACAAAGCAACAGGACAGCATACAGGGTCACACAGTTACCAAAAGGAAATTATAAGTCCACAATTTCACGAGTTATCACGTTGACTTTGGAGACACGAGAGAAATAACTGATAAGAATATCAACTGGAGGCTGCAGGTGGCCTAGCGGTTAGGTCACGCCCCACTGACCTATGACCTATGTCTATGTCTCTGTGTATTGCACAGAGGCAATACACAGAGTCCGACCTGCAGCTCCTTTACCGCTTGTCATTCCCCACTCTCTCTCTTTCCCTGCTTTTCCTACTCTATCCACTTTCCAATCAAAATAAAGGCATAGCAGCTAAAAAAAAAAAATCTAACAAAAAGATAAAAGAATACAAACTGTTTCCTGTTATGACCCAGGTCAACAAAGAATTTGAGTTAAAAAAAAAGAGTTTGTATTAAATGTCAATGTCAGTGTTTGATGAAGGACTGACAGTCTGCCTTTAAGAGGAACTTCTGCTGCTCACACTCTCTCTATTGAGATGTTGTTTACAACTTCCCCAAACTGGCAATATTTAGGACTATACTAGAGAGAATCAACAGAGGAAGAAAAAACTTTAGAGAAACTCGGAAAAAAAGAGAGCTATCTCAACATCCAGGCTTGCACTACTTTCCAACTGCCACATAGTGTGCCGAACAAACACTAGTTAACCACAAAACCTGGTGAGCTGTGTACACCACAAGGCTGCAGTTGATTTGCAGAACATTGAAGTTGTTCTAAATGAGATCGAAGTGTAAATGTGGGGAAGCCTCACAGACTTGAAGGTGGTTTTTTCGTCTTTCTAGCTTCACTTCACATTCCTGTTTGGTTTTCTTCCAAGGACAATTACAAGAAATGACAAAAACAAAAGACAAGCCACAAGAGGAAGTAACAGAACAGACGAAGTCATTTCACAGAGACATTTAGAAGAAGACTACATCTTTTAAAAGACTGGCTGACTTACATTTAAAACATGTTTTTATGAGAGTAAGGGATAGAACATAAACCTTTATCTACTTTTTTTACAAGTGGCGTTCAGGCCTTAAATTAAACGGATGTTTGATCTTCTGTCCTGTCTCTTTAAATCATATGTGACTCAAACAGAGGGGGCAGGGAGGGTCCTTCAAAGAAAACGCTTTTCCTCAAAGATCTCAAGCAGTAAAAATATGATTCCTGGGCCTTGAGACCCACAGGTCAGATGAATATTTAGAGTTTAAATTTGGTCCTTATTCTCCTTTTCAACCTCCATAAAGAGCTGTAAAGGAGTTTAGATGCTGATCAAATACGTTGTGAAGTTAATGACGTAGAGTTTTTTTTAGGTCATAGCTGGAGATAATGAAGTTAAGATTACCACATAATGAAAATAAATCTTTCTTACAGGTTTTGGAGTGGAGGTCCTCCGGCTCAGTCACACTCAGCAGGTCGGCCCCCTGACTCCGACATGAATCCAAAGCTTCCTGCCAGGTCACGGCGGCCGTAGAAACAAACTCATAGCAGGAGTCCCCTACCGGTCCAGAAAACAGAGCCTGGCAACCCTCCTCTATAGAGTCAGAGAGACGGCGTCAGTGCAAGTCTGAGGAACTTTAATTTATTAAACATATTTATAACAGAAACATCTAGAAACAGCTAGGAGAAATCGAGACAAGTGAAGATTTTCACAAAGCAACATTTTAAAAAGGGCCAATGAATGTTATATAAGTTATAATATCATTAACATAAAAAGTGGAACATGCCTGGTGTTAGACAGGTTCCCTTCTTTCCCTCTCGGTCAAAGTCCGAACTGGTGGCACACCAGGACAGTCCAGGGTAATCTTCATCCGGGAGGCATTCGTGATACCAACTGGTGTTAAATTTGAAGGGGAACTCACAGGGAGCACCAACAGAGTTCCCATCAGTGGTGTGGACAACTGCACGGAGAGGAGAGAGAAGTAAAGTAAAGGAGAAGTTAGAGACCTGTTACTAATCTCTGGAAAAACACATCAGGACAGTTACTAGTTGAAAGTGAAATTTAGTGTATTGTTGCATACTTAAAACCACTTCATGGACTAGAAACAACAATAAACAAAAACGTGTTGCTTTGGTGGTCAGAAACGTGTTTGTTTGTTTGTTTGACACAGTTTAGAAGCATTTGTAATAGTTTCTTCATCTTACAATAAATATAGGTTTCTTCAGAAACGGATTACATTCAGACAGGTGCAAATATTTCATCTCAAAGCAGCTGAGAAAAAGCAGCCTGTTGATGCATCGTCATGTCTGTCTTGATCCTCTCCATTCAGTTTTTTTTATATGACGCTGTATTGTAAAGGGAGAAAATACCACTGACACTTATTTTAGGGCCTTCTGAATAACAGAGACAACATTAAAGGTCAAATATTATCATCCTTTTTAACAAGTGTAAATAAGTCTCAGACCTCCCCAAAACATGTCTGTGAAGTTTCTTGTTAAATATTCACTCTGATCCTCTATTTGATCATGTCTATAAACCCCTCTATTTCAGCCCTGCTCAGAACAGGCTGTTTCTGCGTCTGTAACTTTAAATGTAAATGAGCTGTGTCTGACCACGCCCCCTCTCTGGAAGGGGATGTGGCTCGGGCTCTCTAGCTCCATGCCCAATTGTTTACGGTGAGAAGGCAGACTCAGAGGGCAGAACAAACACCCATCTGTGGGAGTGTCACCCAGCTGGGGGAGGGGCTACTGCCCTTTGTGATGTCATGAAGGGAAAATCTCCAAACTGAATGTTTGAGCACACATTTTCTGAAAAGTTGAGCAGGCAAAAGATGGAGGAGATGGACTTTTCTCATAATTGTGGGGTTTGTAGACAGAATAGGGACCCATATTAGTGTTAGAGAAACATGGTGAAGTGTTGCATAATATGTGACCTTTTATATTAAATGTTAAAAAAAACTTTAAATCCTGAGCTTTTTTCCAAGTGGATGTACACAACCTGTTTATGTTTTGACAATACTTGCTTTTGAGGTACCAAGTCACACATTGTGAGTGACACAATGCAACTTTATGTCTCTTACAAATAAAGGCCGAACATCCCAGGCGTGTTTTATTTCACAAGACTGGCTCAGCTCAGTCGCACAGAAATAAAAGTGAAAGTAATTTGTTCTGTTGCACTGAATGCAACACAAAGGTGCTATGACACACGTCTGACTGTGCCCTGCCCTAAAGCTGTTCGGAAAATTCGAACAGCTTTCTGTCCCCCCCCCAAATTCAAAGGAAACGTTACTTTTATGATACAGAGGTTTCAGAAAATGCCCTAACCTTCAAGAGGAATTTAAAACACTGTTTAGATTCCTGGCTTTATTATGCAGAAATTCACCGGAATGAAGACAATGTAAGTGTTGAGCTTGGTCTAAAATGGACAAGAACCTGTTTGAGGGTGTGACAAAAAAGCCAGAGACAATAACACCTTAATTATAAGGGTGTATTGCATCACGAGGGTGTTGTGCATCACGAGGTAGGAATAAAATCACATTCAGGAGGTGGATTCTCTGACAGAATATAAGATATTGTACTCAGCACAAACTCAATTTAACGGCACTTTGATTTCCTGACTGCATTAGAGAGGCCACAGAGCTCCGTAATGGACGGCTTGCAGCACTTCACACAGTGCTCAGATCTTCAGTGTGTGAAAAATGTTCTCTCTCCGTTAAGACAAAGGAAACCACACTAACCACGATATGGTCTCTGGCAGATGTTGTCTTGAGATCCTCCTCTGACCCATGTATCATTAGCGTCCCGTTTGGCGACAACTTTGCCATCACTGGCAGCAAGACCCATCTGATAAACAGTGTAGACAATCCCATCCACGCAGCGCCACCGCAGCATGTTGTTGTGGCCGCAGTCCACCAGGAACAGCGTCTTGGAGGGGACGTCCAACGCCAAGCAGAGGGACGTGGCCACATGAAAGAGCCGGTGACCAGATCCCCACTTCCACAGCTGGGTCCTGCTGTTTGGGTCGCAGGCAGTGAGACTCAAGTCTGAGGAAGCCTCAGTACCCAGGCACTTCTCTGTGCTGGCGTGCTGGATAGTGAAAGCATCCTCATCTGTGGCGACAGAAAACAACACATTTTAAAAAACGAACTACCAACATCTGCCGAAAGCCTTCCATTACCATCAAGACATGGACGCTTTTCTACCATCAGTTTGTCATCTAAAATGACATCCAAAATATATATATGTTGTAGGCTTTATGGGCAAAATCACAAACACCAATCCTTGAAATATTATTCAAATGACTAAACTTTAATATTATAAATGTGAAAAACAGCACTTAGGGACCACGTTAATGCTGTTAAAAAAAATGGCAGACCATTTTCAAATGAATGAGCTTGTTTTTAATTCTTTCTTACTGGCAAGAGATCCCTAAAGGGATAAAGAAAATATTTGGAATGGAAGTCAATATTTATATTTGGTGTTGACAACTGATTTTTGAGCATTTGTTTTATTATTTTCAATTAGCCTTGATAATTTATGCCCTGCCAAAAAAAAATAAAATAATAGAATATGTTTCCATAAACGAGGAGGAAATAATCCAGAAAACATTTGCAGTTATTTGATAAATGGGAGTTTAAAAAAAATTAGTTATTTACAAAATAAATAAATAAATTGCTTAAAATACTTTTAACAATTCAATAGCTGACAATAATTGGATAAAATAGTGCTTCTCTAAAAGTTGTGGGTAAGAAAAACAAGCGCAGTATCTTTGCAACTGTCCCTGTCGGGCTTTTTAAAAGGGACTAATTCCAGTATTTAATACACCAGTCTCATTCAATTTAATTTCAAAATACACATCAAGTTACTTTACACCAGATTTGAGTGTGGAGAAGGATTTAAATGAACTCTACAGTCTTCTTGGTGGGGGATTTTAAAGAAAGTGACCATGAAGCAAACATGTAAAAACTGCAGGAACAGACTTTCTAAAAACAGAAAAACAAGATCACTGCTACACTGAAGGCCTGTAGCATTGCAGCAGGCTTACAGTGCTTCTAATGAGCATTTACACAGAAGCCAGCCTGCATAAAAATATAATGATGTGTACTTGTGAAACACATGACTTGCACAGAGGAGCTAGAAGGAGGGAGGGATGAGTTTGCAATTCGTTTGACCTGTCACAATACGCAGTGGCATCACACTTGCTGGGGGATGGGAACAATGGAAAAACAACTAACTGGCTGACTGACTAACTCACTAATTTAACTTAAAAGCTTCGCTCATATCTGTTTCAACTTGTTGTAGGCTACAGCTCGCATGTTTGCAGCTTTTGTCTTCAGTAGGGTCGCGCTTCTGCGGACAAGTTACTATTATCCAAGTGAATCGAAAGTGAACCCCGCAGACGGCTTAGTCATGGTAATGTGAGATAAGTGACGCAGAAATTAAAGCAAAGGGCTGGAACTTGAAGCAAAAAACTTACCAAAACCTCTCAAGTGAGCCGGCGAACAAGTCCCCAACAAAACAAGTGACTTCAAAACAGTCAACAAACAAAGGCAAAGTGTCGCTTCGGGTAACTTCAGCATGGTCACGGAAGAGTCTTTTTGTTGGCTTCATAAAGAGTCTGCCCTCCCGCGGTGCTAAACCTTTTGAATATAGGCCGATCGGTAACTGAAGCCCAAAGCGAAAGTGATCAGATAAGTACACTAACCCAGTTAACCCAACTGTCAGCGGTGTGATCCACGGTCCCGCTCCAACCGACCCGTCAAGCGAGCACGAACAGGGGAAGAGAAGCACACTTCCGGTTTAACCCGCCAAAATAAAGTTTGTCAAATAGAAGTTTTTAAACCATTGGCTGTAAATCCAAACAGATTCAAACGGAATTATAAAGAGGCATTTCATTGCCAAGTAAAGTAACTATTTAATGAAAATTTTTTATAATTATGAATAATTGAATAATTATTTTTTGTTTTTTTGTTTTTTGAATTTTTGTTGGACATACTTGATCAAATATATTGTTACAATGTTACAATTCACTTAGCAGACGCTTTTTTCCAAAGCGACGTACATCAGAGAGTACAACACTAATCCATTCATACACCACCACCGAAGCAGCGGGAGCAATGCAGGGTTGAGTGTCTTGCCCAAGGACACATCGGACTTGTTGCTCAGCTGGGGATCGAACCCTCTACCAACTGAGCCACAGCCGCCCATATTACCAACTTAGTAAGACTAATTTGATACTAAAGTTAAGTAAACTATTTCCATTATGCATACAAAACGTATGAGATACACAGACAGATTGTTATTAACAATGTTTATTAAAACAGTCACTCTTACGCTGTGACTTAACTGACTTAAAAATATTCAGAATCAGCGATGGGATTAGTACCTTACATATATTCCAGTCAAAATTTACATTAAGAAATGAAATCAACTCATTCAGGGAAATAATGGAAAAAAGGCTAAAAAATATATATTAAATAAAAAAATATAAAAAATTGGATACTTCATTTGAAATCAGGATTCACCAAAGCACAAGAAACGCATAATTAACATAAAGTGGCTGCATCATATTCTTGCCTTGGCCTTACCTTTGAATTACTAAACCTAATAGTTTATTTGAGTTATTTTACGCTAAATTTATAAAGCATAATTTTCCATTGTGGAGAGCCTTTCAAAAATTCAGTAAATTAAAACTTGCATACGTCTGCATGTAGGCTACTTTTATGTAAAACTTTAATTCTGAAGGCCTGAACCATTTTCTTTACGTTTCTTCCGTCGCGTGTTACTGCTCTTTACCTCTCCAGCCCTCCCATCAAAGTCCCTGAATGTCCGGAAATTATCTCGTATATCCACTTCACGCCCACACGGGTTGTTTCCTTCAACTGAATTACAGGCGTGTGGTGTGTTTTCTAAAGCGACTCCAACGGAAGTCCCCAATGCAACAAACAGCAGTTCACCCCTGACTTACATTTATTTTTAGGCGTAGCAGCTGTTATTAATAATTAATTATTGTACACCATGATGTCAGACGCTGCTAGATAATCTGTCGATAATACTGCTTCTCTTTGCTCTCTCATATTTACATTTTGGGTTACTGCCAAACACTGATACTTTTAAAAGGCCATCTATCGACTTGGAATGTTTTCTGTTTTAATCAATGAAACCTGAGGTGATTATTTTTATACCAAGGCTCTCAAAAATTGAGTTCTCAGCACTGACTTTAGCAGGGAATATGTGTTCATGCCTTAACAGTTACATTCTATGGTTAAAGCCAGTTAAAGCTTTAATGTGAAAAGATACTGCACCAAGGAGGTCCTGACAAAAAAAGATGAATCATCTCATGGGCTATGTCTTCAACATCAATATGTAGTCATCTGTGTAATAGCCATGTCCCCATGGTTGTTGTTGTTCTGGTTCACATGAAGCCATTTTATGAGACGTTCTATAAAATAATGAAATCTATAAAAGGCAAAACATCTCCTGACTTATGGTAAAACACTACAACACAAACCAGCCTGAAGTATTTCATATCAGTATTTATTGGAACTCATACATTGTAGGCAATGGGCCAACACTGCAAACAGTAGGCCTGCAGAGCTTTAGAGGGGAAAAGGGAGTGCAAAGTTAGAAATTAATACATCATGAAATCTTTGATCTCATTATTATTATATAATAAGAATATTCTATGAGGAAATTATGACCACACACAAAGTGGAAGTACTCTGCCAGCCCAATCACATTTGAAGAAGTATGTTTTTGACTTACTGAAGAAGGGAATTTACGGGGGATTCCACAAGGATTTCCCTCATTTCTTCAGCTCCTCCCTCATGCAATTTGTAAGGCTTCACTTTGACTCATTAAAACACAAGGAAAATTGTGCAATAAAAATATCTAACAACACGCTTTGCATCAGCAGACAGAACAATCCTCAGTTGTAGCCTTAGACATATTCCAATAGTTATAAACATACAGAAGAAAACCTCAATTTACAGCATATATACTTAGAAAAAATACAATAACAATACAAAAGTAATACTGACAAGAATGCTGCACCACATGTGCAGCTCCAACAACTCCTGAATTGTGAATGAAATGTACAAAGTTATATTTAAAAAAAAAATTCTATTTGGTCATGAATCTGCTTCTTATTTGAATTAAGAAAGTTACTTTTGACCATGACAAGGAGATGAATGTTTTCCTTCACCAGTTGAAAACTTATTAAGTAAAACTTTATCAACCAAAATATTGTACTTGATGACTGTTTACCTATTATTATTATTATTATTATTATTATCATTATTATTATTAGCCTATAAATCCTCATACCAGAGAATAATGACATCAATGCCTCGTACCTACTGTCTCTTCAGCCGGTTCATAAATGAGAACTTGGTTCAACTAGAATTCAATCGGGCTCTTCAGTGTCACACAAAAACACCTTTACAAAAATCTGTCTCATTAAAAACATTTGAATGACTTAGAGAGAAATTCCTTTGAAAAACAATCTCATTACTGAGGACACCTATTGTTTGCCTTCATCATCTCACCACTGTCCTGAGGAGTCAGAGTCACAGTGCTTTACAGTGTCGCGTGGCATTCGAACCTGACGGTGAAACGGTGAGAACCCTTTAGAAAGATGCAGATACGTTGCGTGTTATTCTCCTGAGTGAGCCTCCAGATCTGTGATCAGCACATTTCCATCTGAGTCTGTAGCCTGCGAGCTGGTTTGTCTGTAATAAGCGTTGCCGAGAGTCGGGAGCCCCTGAAATCGAGAAGCGTTCCTCTTGTACATGAACCACATCGCTCCTGCCAGCAGGGCAAAGATCAGCACGGCCACCAATACCGCAGCCGGGATTATTCCATGATGAAGACCTGAAACATACCCGGCCAGTCATGTTTTGTTTGAAGCACATGCATGCTTGTAACATGTATCACATTATATCCTATTTTTTTGTAAACTATGAATCATTCTCAGCCCTGTATATCATCTGCTGTTAACTCACTGAGCTTATATATGAGTGTACTGTATGATACTTACTATTTATGGGTTCCACTTCCACCTCTGCAACTTCTTCTGCAATACAACACAGTGGAGTTCAGTAAGACTTGTCATGTATCATCTGAGATATTCAGATAGGTGAAATATAATCCAATACTACTTCCAGAGGTTTATCATTTTGTGCTCCAACATTGTGCAGCCACAATTTAAAAAAAAGACTTGGAATGAAAACCAGCTGTTTAGTCCACCTTGTATCTGTATGAACAATTAATTGAACACCAATCCTGAACACATCTGTTTTTGTTTATCCTTCACTTTTTTAACCTACCACAAAGTTACTGCTAATTCTTTCTAAGTTTATTTCCCCCATTAATCCTAACCCCTTGGCCTTGTTACCTGGGTAACAGGAACAGACTTGAGGGGGAAATAGTTACAGAAGGTCAACAAATATTTCTTACATGCTGCATAAATTCAACACAGAGGACCTAACATAAATCCAGAATATCCCCAGACCATCTCACCTGAGACGGTTTTGCAGACAAAGCCGAGCCGCTCGTTGCATTGTGACAGGTGCCACAAACCATCAACCACCCTGGTGGTGACACAGGCGTCTGCAGTCAGTAGCTTGGAGTCCGGGGCCTTGTTAGGCCAGTTGGTGTAGTCCATAGGTGAACCGTCCACCCAGGACAAAGAGTCAGCTACAAATAGATGCCAACATATAATGAAATCAGACCACAGGGGATGACAACCATCTACTGAGTACATAAAGGGACAGATCCTTACTGTCAATGTTGAAGTATATCCCCAACCACACGGACTGGTGGAGGTATCCTGACGACCAGAGCTGCTCCAGAACAAAACGGTTCTCCGTCTCACTTTCGATGGTCAGGACATCTGAAGTGTTGACTACAAAGTGACAGTAGCACATTAGTTACACAACTACTGTGCAGTTTAAAGGAGTTGTTTGAGTAGATTTGAACATGAATGCATTCACTGCCCTTCCAAGGGGAAAGATGATAAACTACATTTAGCTAAATAAACCATAAACAGGGAAACCGGTAGCCTGGCTCTGCCTCGTTGTCTTTGTAATGTTTCCAGATAACAGAACGTAAAAAGTAAAAAACAAAGATTAAGGCACGTTACAACCCTAACCACTACATTAAATGTCTTTTTTTACAGATTTAAAAAAAAAATAATAATAATAATAATAATAATAATAATCTTTGTTAATGTAATAGCTTTAGAGGTGCTGGTGCTTTAGCATGTAGCCAGGCTCATTGTTCATACTTCAAAGTTAAACTCAGCAGACACAGCATTTAAATATAGTAACAAGTACGGTAACACACTTGTAAATGTAAATGAACACACGAGCTGTTGAGAATATAAGATATAAAGCAGGATTTGTCTCAATCCGAGTGCTGTTCGGGGCAGCTCCTCTATTTGGCCTGTAGGGGGAGTATTTATTCTATCTAGTAGATAGAGGTTATGCATGAGCAAATTCTTTATTTTTTTCCTTATCGATAATTATACATGTAAAATTGATAACCATGTAGGATTATTACACATGTAAATGTTAGAGTTTTGTTTACAGATAACTGCTGCTATCACAGGTGGGGGGGGGGGGGCAGGTTCACCAGAACTTTGGCAGTAATGTAGTGGTTATATGAATCACATTCAGCTGTTCACTTTGTTTTGGCTTTGAAGGAGAGATCGAGTAAGTCTGGATATTTGTGTGGTCATTTTTTGTTGACTGCACTTGAGTACCACTTGTTGATGTTAACGTTGTGTTTACAGTGATTTTTCTCACGTCACCTTTTGATGGGTTACACTGGCTCGTAGTCCCGATAAACCATATGAATCCTTACCTCTATGTCTGCAGTGCTCTCTTGCCTCTTCAAATGTGAGTTTCTGCACCACCGGCTCAAAGTTGTAACAGCCATGTCCAAATTTCACCCATGAGGAGAGACACACGAGCTCATAGGAGACAAATGGTTTACTGCCTGTGAGAGAGAGCAGGAGAAAGTAAATAACAATACTCGGTCAAACAGCTGAAGAGATTAAAGAGTAAGCGCTCTAATATTTGATTATCACTGCAGTGGCACTGACTTGGCGGGGGGATATGACACAGGGCTCCTGGCAGCGGAGTTTCACAGTCGGCTCGCCGCCAGCCTCCGCTCTCGTCCATGAACACACACTCTCCCATCACAACGTCGTCATCGGCTGAGTCCCAGTGTGTGTACACTGTGTCACTGCCATCTGTCCACTGATAGTTGATGCCGCTCTGGTAAGAGGCACGAATACCAAAGTATTAGTCAAGATGTTAAACTTGTGGAGGAACACAAAACGCACACACCGCTCAAGCTACTGCAGCCTAGGACGTTAATCTCTGCATGCACAGCAGGGTGAAAAGCATTCAAGCTGAATCTTCATACAAATACTTAAATTGCTCATGTGATTGACTTTCCCCGGACATTACAGGTTGAATATTAAGAGGATTCAAAACCATCTTGATTTACTTCTTGTGATAGTCTGTCCATTTAAACTAACCTCTGACTGCATTGTTGTTGTAACTTTCCCTTTTATGCCAACAGCAGTTCATTTAATACAATTCTTGAACTTTTAAAAACCTCTAGGCTGGCGCTCTGTAAAGTTCTGCATGACACCGCTGTATACTATGTACTGTACTGCCATAAGCTCTGTGTGTGTCTGCAATGTGTGAATCTGCCACATTTGGCAGTTTGAAAATGCTGGTGACATGCCAACATGCACATTTTTAAATGTATCTCGTACGTGTAGAGGAAAGGTATGAGAAATCTTCTGTTGTGTGGCGTGTCTGTTAAAGAGGTTTTGTTAGTTAGCTTGGCATGAAGCTTGATTGTGCTTGGCTCACTACAAAGCGGGGCAACTATAAGTGTACCACCGCGTCTTGCACACTTTTTTGACCTTTTTGCCACCATGATCAGAGACTCAGAAAGCTACTACTTCTTGAAGTGCTACAATGTGTTGTTTTCACACTCTGGTTTTGCAACAATTTAGAAATAGACATATATAACATTTAAATAAAAAGAGCTTTAGAGGTGACTGTGGACAGACTTCTTCACCTCAAGGATAGAGCCAGGCCCTATCCCCCTCCCCCACACACACCCCCACCCGTTTACAGCATTTAAAAGCTAAGCTTATTAACTTCTGGCTGTAGCTTCATTTTTAGCATGTCCATATAATAGTGAACAAACCTATTTTCAAAGGATTTTTCTCTAATGATGTCATGCAAACACACATTTCCACATCAAACACAGGCACATACAGTAGCATACACACATACAAGGGTATACAGTTCATATTGCACGAGAGGATACATACGTCTTGACTGTAGAGTCCGATCCAGTGGGGGACTGCCAATCTATTGACAAGGACAGTAAGGAAAGCCTGGTGGTATGCATCTGTAATGCTCACTAGGTCAGAATCATTCTCTATGCACATATGCATGGCGTCGTACCAGCTCATGTTGCCAGACACAACCTTGTAGCTGCGGCTTCTGTACTCAATATTGTCAGGGAGAGGCAACTGATAGGAGTGGGTGGGGGGTTTGGATGTATCTGTGACAAGACAAAAAACAAGACAAAAAGAGAATTAGAGTGGGATTGCTTAAAGGTGTTAATGTAAGCGTATTATAGTTGTGATTGACTAGCTGTCACAACAACAAAGAGAAAAAACATTCAGAGGGGAAATAAAGGTGATAGTGACAGAATCAAACCAAAGATAAAGAAACTGAGGAAATCTTACCTTGAGGTTTTTGACAAACAAATCCATACCCACTCTCGCTGCACCTTTCATCGTACCACTTTCCTGTCAGGTGGAAGTTGTGATTGTTGGACAGAACAGTACACAACGGCTCACCGAGGAATCCACTGAGCCAGTCATCCTCCTGGAGTGTCAGAGAAGTAGATATTATCAATATACGCACACACAAGCCCATTCACAAAGGCAAAGCTGGGATCATTTTTTATACATCTTTAAACTGATCCTGCAAGTAAAACACTGTAGTGTTACTAGATTGATCACATACATGTGTTCACACCAATTGTCAAAAATCTTTTTGTGGTTTTCCATTTTGTTTAAAGAAATGAAAGAAAGAAACTGAAAATGGTTAAAAAAAAAAAATTCTGTTATCAAGATGAAACTGAATGTGTTTACTGCAAACAGAGAGCTAAGGTTTAGCAAGAAACGTTATTGGGCAAGGTCAACCTTAAGCTTTCACAGAAACCTACGGTGATATAACTCTTCGGTTCAATCGGAGACCAGTTGGTGTAGCTCACGAGTTTCCCATTGGTCCATCTCATTGTGTACTCATCCCCCAGACCAATCCACACACCCACAGAGCTTCCTTGCAGCAACATGGTGATGTAGGCTGCAGAAACAACGGCATGACAACAGGAGTAAAAACTGTAAAAAATTAGAGCAGCTTTCTTACTGACATGGCAACCAACAGTATGTGAGGAGGAGACCAATGGCACCATGATCTTTGTCTGAGGTTGTTCGGATATTGAATTGAACATTGTTTCACTTTGCCTCTATACCTTGTTCGATCTCGTCTTCTATAGCGACAAGTGTGCCTTCGAATGACGAGCAGATGGACAGGGCATCCTTCCAACTCTTTCCCTCCTTTGGGTTATCAACAAGGTGTAGCAGGAGACACTACCAAAACACAATCACACACATAAAATGTCACCACAAGGACTCTTGTTTTAAGGGGTCAAGTTAAATTGTTTTTGCCATTTTTTTTTTTTTTTTTGGTCAACAGAAAAGGATGAGATGAACCCTGTCTCTTATTATCACACCGTTAGTTACCATTACACAAGCACTGACTTCTTTTTTCATAGACCTTGAAGTTCGACTGAAAAGGAACTTAAATGTATGCTTTTGAGCTAGTTTTCACAGGATTCTGCTCTTGGCCTAATTTTCATTCTGGCTCAGTAAATGTATTTCCCCCACTCTCCCTTTTTTTTCCTATCAACCCTATTAAAATGCATAAAATGAAAAAAACTTCCTTAAAAACATGCAAAACAATAGGATACCTCTACAGACTACTTATATTCAAAGTCCTGCTTTACAAGTGACTCGAATATTATATCCAAAGTTTTTTCTTCTGGTCTAACGTGGCTCTTTGGTTCATAAATCGCTGAGATAAGTCATTATCGGCAAATGATGTATTGGTTCTTGCACCTATCTTTATTTACACATGCAGTCACTTTATGAACTTAAGTTCGAGACCCGACACTAGTGCTGATATTGAAGAGATGATCAGCTGGTTTTTGCTCTTTTTTTTTTTTCTTTTTTTTGTGGTTGACTCAGCAGGAGCATCATCAGCAGGGGTTCATCCTGATGTTGTGAGCATGACTCAACTGACACTGACTCCGTATGATTCAAAGACAGTGAATGAAAACACAAACTTCCTGCTCCAACCCCAGAGGCAGCTGGGGGTGAAGAAAGCGACTGTGTTTTGGAAACTGATCTTTGTAGAAGAACAGAATTAAATGAGCCACTACAACATAATTCTTTCCCAGTCATTTAAAATGTGAACATTTCAAACTGAGAAAACAGTTACTGAGGGCATGCAACTTCAAAATAACCTCTCAAAAAAATCAATCCTTACTCCTTGAGAGTTTTTGATACATTGCTACAACATGGAGTGTGTGTGTGTGTTTTCATGTCCAAACCTTGTGTCCAAAGTAGAGCCACTTCTCTGGACATCCTCCAATGTAGTGCGGCTCCCTGGGAGACTCCACCACAGACACAGTCTTTCTCTTGCACACATAGCCGTGGAGATCGCTGCATCTACTGGCCGACCACTTCCCTGGAACATACCAGAAAACCATTAACTCAATCCAGCACGTTCAACCCGTACATGAGTGTGTGTTTCTGTACGCGCACTCGCTAACCTGTTGAAGACGACATAGTGACACACATCCCGTTTTTCCTGGGGTCACTTCCATCTGCCCAGTTCTGAAAGTCGACGCTGGTATGGTCGCTCCACCTGCAAACAAACACACACACACAATCACATCTAACAACAGTCCGAGCTAATGTCATTGGTCTACTACTTTCAAACTCATCATTAGCTTCCTGTGAGCTACACTGCATAAACTTTAATTTATGGACGCACACTGCGATAAAATACATGCAAGAAGCACACTGCCATAAAATACATGTATATAAAAAGGGACAGCAGCAGCGGGCAGGTGTGTCCACAGGTAGACAGGACAGCAGGAATTGCAGCCTGTCCAAGTTTAAAGTTCATAAGAGGGGAGGCAGTTCTTGGCTGGCAGGCTACAAATCAGCGGTTCATTCAGAAATTTGCAGACCTGGCCAGCCCCCTGACTGACCTGACTGAAAGAGTGCCTCAAATCCAAGGATAGGTCCATCCATCGTTTGATAGATAGATAAATAGAAAGATGTATTTTATTGATCTTAAACTGGAGAAATGGTGTAAATTGTGTTTGCAGTTCATATGCAAGCTTGTTGCATTTGGGAGACAGGCATCTCACTCTAACATGTCTTTACCGAAGTTATCAAACAAAGAGTCGACTGCTTTTATAGAACCAGTCAAAGGTTGTTGTTTTTTTGCAACTGCAAAAAACAGACACACACACCTGACATCCTCTCCAGGCTGCGGGATGGACAGGCCGATCCACCAGTCGGTCGGGCCCAGGGAGAGCTGAGGAGGTTTTAAAATGAACAGAGATGAAAAAGAACTAACTTCACTTTACCCTGTTTTACAAACACTGGGCTTTTCAGAGCCCCTCTGACAGTGAGTGACTATTCAGGCCGGCTCTTTGGCTCGTGATTTTCTCTTTCATTGCCTTGTTTTGTTCCCTTTATCCCCTCACAAGCCTCAACTACACAAGAGGTTTCTTTAGTGTCACCCAAAAAGGCTGCTGCCCAAAACAGCCCCATTCTTGCTCCCTGTGTGTAGGGGCACTCAAGCATAAGAGTGTCCACATATGAGGTGTGTTGTAGCTTGTCGACGTGTGTGTGTGTGTGTGTGTGTGTGTGTGTGTGTGTGTGTGTGTGTGTGTGTGTGTGTGTGTGTGTGTGTTTAAACACTTGAGTTTCTATAAGGAACAAGTTCATGGGCAGAGTTTACCCTGGCTCATGCAGACGTTTTTAAGAATGGGCTCAGTGGACCTTACAAAGGAGCAGAGTCTGGTTAAGTCATGACTTTGCCGATCCTACTGTGGTGTAAAAATGTACTCCTGCCATCTGCCAAACAAACACAAAGTGGTCATGGGAGATGCTCCTCACTTTTATGATACTGCCTTAGATGGCGGGAGAACTCGCACCATGATAAAGTACATTTTCCCTTTGTTTACATCGAGGTATGAGAGAATGATAGGTGAGTTAAAGTACTTGATTTTTTTTTTATCATTTTAAGACTATTCTATCAAACTGAAATACTTCCAAATGCCTCACAGTGTGTTTTATATGGAACATAAACCAGCATTTATGAGTTTCAAGATGAGAGTATTGGTAACGCTTATAAACGTGATTTGTCAATATAAAATAAATCCCAAAAAAGAAATGGCAGAAGTTCAACATGTATGGCAAAGTGGTGATACTGAACTTCTGTGAATCTTTTTTTTTTTTTTACAAGCAGGTGGAAAAACAGACCCGCTTCAATCGCTCCTTGATGAAGTGCAGCTCCTCTCTGGAGTGTACGGACAGCAGGTACGCTCCCATCATCTGACAGGCCAGAGAGACAGCCTCCCAGTCGAAGGGCTGCTTCGCCAGCAGGTACTCAGCTCCGCGGTAAAACACCCAGGGCTCGCTCTCTGTGGGGGGGGGGGAAACCAGGAGACAATAATGAAGCCTGCAAACAATTAAGTATGCTTTTATTTTTTAAGAAATCTATGGTTATAGTGATTGGTTTACCAGTCGTCAATACTGAGAGATGATTTCCCCATCATATACGAACACTTAGCTAACATACCGTAGAAAGAATGAAGAACGTTTGGATTACACGGTACATTTAGATTGCACAGATGGCATCATTCCTGGTTAGAGATCAGTTTTATCTCATGACTGTGTAGTTAGAGAGAACTACATTAAAGCTATGTACACATGTTGGATGCACAGCTTCATAAAAGAAGCAGTTTTAAGATTAAGTTTTAAGAAAAGGTGTAGAGAAAGGTGTTATAATAAGGGAATGATTAGGGTTTCAGCTTTGTTTCTGCAAGTGGAATCAAAAGTATGTTGTTTCTGTTCATGCAGCTAGCTGGTTTCAAGAACATTTACAGGTTCAACTCTGAAGCCTCTGGACGCCGTATATCACTCCGCCCTCAGGTTTATAACTGGTGATCGATTTGACACTCATCACTGGGACCTGTATGAGTGCGTCGGTTGGCCTTCTCTTGAAGAGAGGTGCAACAAACATTGTTTTTTTATATATCTTTAAGGCTCTTACTGGTAAACTTCCACCTTACATCACAGACCTGTTGGACCTGTACGGGTGCCTACATGACCCGTTCTTCTGATTGGCTCTTAAAGTCCCTCGAGCTTTTACTGAAAAACTGCATTTTCTTTTGATGCTCCAAAATCGTGGAACGCCCTGCAGCAAACTCTAAAGGTCGGAGTTCTTCCCTCTCTTCCACAGTTTAGGAATTTGATTTCGAACAACTTTGTTTCAAATTGTAACTGTTTTAAATGATCTCAGTGGTTTTTGTCACAGACTCTGAGTGTTTGTTGTGTTTTTGCTTGTTTTACCGTGCTTGTAATCTCGACGGCATTGGAATTGAGGGAAACCTCAGTGTCTTTTCGAGAATAAATAAAGGTTTAAAATGTAGAGGAACTCGGCTATCATTAGAAATGAAGACTTTTTCAATTCTGGTTTTCGTCTGATTTGCTTTTTTAATTACATTTAAGTGGAGACATCAAAAATATCTATCATAACAGAGTTTATAAGTAATAAAGTAAATGAAAATGCTACTCACGCTCAGTGTACCAATAGGGTTTGATCAGTTCATAACCTGTAACATAAATCAAGAGTTGTATTACTAATGCAGTGCTGATGTGTCCCTGTGTTCAGTGGTACTGTTGGGAGTGTTTACCTCTGGCCACCTCGCAGACCCACTCGTGTTTGGCATCACAGGGCTGCGGCACGAGCGCGTTGGTGAGGTCACTGTACAGAGCACAGTCCCTCCTGTCATCCTCATCGTTCTTATCCTCTATGAACGACGTCATCACCTGAATAAAAACAGACCGATAAGACTATATAATAATGGAAACATTCGATTTGTGCTACGAGGTATGTGAACATGTACTTACAGGGGTACCATCGGACCACTCCCAGACTCCAGGGTCCTCAGGGTTTCTCTTATTTAAACCCACCCAGAACCAGCGAGCCTCAGTTCTAAATTTAAAAAAAGGAGGGAAAAAAAACATAAAACACAAAAAGACAAGTTCATCTAAGCAAATCAAATGTCTTAAATGTGTACTAAACTAAGTACAGAAACTAAAGCTTGTGAGAAACTTTCAGTATGAGTTGAATTTGGTGCCCCCTGTGGACAAAGCAGTACAAAGCTTTTATTTTGTCCTGCATGGTTCCAGGTAGTGTTTTCTTACAGAAATTCTCATCCTGAATTCTAGTCAAAGGCAAATGTGTAGTTTATTTTGGATATTTTGGGTGGAAAATGTGAGTGTTTCCCATGGCAAAAAATACAAGCACTAACAAACGACCTCATAAAAATGATCGGTCTTCTCTCTGTTGGTCTTGTTTGCTTATATAAGTCATAGAGACGCGTCACTTTTCATTTGAGATCTTAAAAACTTCACAGTGACTTTTAATGTTTTCCTATTGAAAATAATTGTCAGTTTGCAGTAAAAAGGAGTTTATAGCATCTCTTTATTTCAATTCATAGGTTGCCCTAAAATAGTATTTATTCTATGTATTTTTTTTTTCCACTGGTTCCAACTGTAGTTGTATTTTGTGTTCTGGTGTAAATAGCTGAAATGTTACTGGACATACTGGAGAATACTTCATGGATCAAATAAACTGAAGATTTACTAATGTAGATAGTAACACACCCGACAAATTGATTTAGTTCATTGAATTGAAGCAAGAAAATGTGGCATGATTCAGGGATCATGTCTGGAACATTTGGACCTCTTTATTTGCTTGTAAATGCTTCATATTTACAAGCAGACATTGTGTTGTAACACTCTTATGTATAACTCCATAAGGCCAAAAGCCCAACTGATCTGTCCTTTGTAGTTGGATTGATCAGTACATTTTCTCAAATTAAAACAATGAGGTTCTGCCTTTTTGATTCTACAAAATAATTTTGTCCTTGTAGCACATTCGCCTCCGTTCACAACTACAATAAAGATACTTGCTGTTTTAAGTGTATTACTTTGGTACATGTAGGGGCAGAAAAGAAGTCTTCTTTGAATGGGGTGGCCTAACTGGGGCACTGACTTACAGACTGGTGGCATGAAATTTGTGTGCACATACAATTGAAAATCATTCCTATACCCTTTCTATCTCCACTCATATTTACTTAACTATTCACTCTGACGTTTCTTATGATGCAACAATACTATTTATTTGTTAACTTTAAAAACTATCATCCCATGTGGCATCACAAATCTTCTGAGGTGAATTATTTAAGGACTGAAAGAGAAAATGTTTATACAAAGGAACATTTTTAAGTAACTACTTAAGGAAATGTACCATAAAGAAATGCAAAGCAAGTTTCTAGCAGCCTGTTACAACATCGCTCAAATAGTTCATTTTAACACCTCAGACAAAGCAAAAAAGCCAATCAGAATTTAGGAGTTTGGGGTGAGTCCTGGGGCGGCCAATCAGATTTCCCAGGCCAACCCTGGCCACCCCCCTGGATACTCCCCTGGGTAAATGCCTTTTTTGAGGGTTTTTTTTCTCCTGTCAATGTTGTTTTTTTCCCTGCAAGAAAGTAATCATCTAGACGGATTATAAAACAATCCCAAACCCCAATTTCTCTTCAAAAGCCAATCATGAAAACCTGCAAATGCTGCTCTATGCACTCAAAACCATAAAGCAAAACACCTCAATTGACACATTTATCAGTTCCCATAGCATTCCTGCACTAACGAGGCCCAGAGGGCAGTACCAACCCTTCGAACATGGTACTGAGGAGCTGCTTAACAAACACCTGCTCCTCATAGTGGTAGAAACTGGCCAGCCGCGCCCCGAGGGCCTGACAGAAGAAGTCTGCCTCCACCCATGAACGCTTCATCAGGACTTTCTCATCGTGGAACACCTAGAGGAGCCACACATGGAGTGAGCTGAGAGTTACATGTTAAATGAACACAAACACTCTCACTAGACTTGAATAGAAAGTGACAACTTTATGTTTGTTCTATTATTTGTAGTATTTTAGTAATTTCAACTACTCAATTTTACTTTTCCAAAATTAAATTCTAGTGTTTAAAGTAGATATTACAGTAGCTTTGTTGCTGAAAAAAAAAAAGAATAGAGAGAGGACAGTCGATAGAAGATAAGCATGTTCTTACCTTAAAACAGTCGTACAGCCCAGAGTGCGATTCCCACCCTGGAGGACAGGGGGCGAAGGCGTCGATGTGGTGCTCTGGCAGCGCGACACTGTGGTAAGTATTGATGTTCTGCTTGCAAACGGAGAAGGCCTTATGGGACTTGCAGTCTTTCACCTCCCACTTACCCAAAGCAGAGCCACCTGACATTGCAACACAGCCTTCAGCGCTGACTAAGACAAGAAACGAGGGAGAAGATGAAGGAGGTGAGGTGGAGGAGATTCAGGAACAAATCCCAAACTTAACACAATCACAGTTTAGTGATCTATTACTAGCAAACAGATATTTCCTAACAACTAGGTACCTGGTTGGTGTTTGTTCCAGTTAGTGAAGGTGACATTGATATAAGTGTTGTTGTGAGGAATCCAACTGTACTCTCCCCCTTTGACTAAGTCCACCAGGCGGATCCAGTAGTACTTGCCGTTGTCTGCACCATTCGCAGTCAGCAAACTGTTCACAAACGCCTGCTCAAACCTGCCGGCATGCCGAAAAAAAAAAACATGGGACAGGTAAGGAGAGAGACGCTCTACTGGACACACAATCTGATAAATGAAAGTTTCTTTTTTTTGAAGTGAGACTAAACAAATCATTTGCTCATAAACCACCTGTTCTCTATTGTAAGAAGAGGAGCCTGGCAGTAGTATTCATTCGTTGCGTCGTCAAAGCTCTGCTCATGGCTCGTCACTGTGTAGCAGGAGTGACCGTGCCGCTTCCAGCCCTGAAAACATCAACAACAACAAAAATTAAAAAAAAAAAAAAACTCCATCCTTTTTCTTCAAACTTCAATGACACAAACACATTGGTGAAATTAATTAATTCTCTTAGGACTTTAAAAATTACAACATAAATAATATAACGACTTCAATGACTGAAGAAATTGTTATGCAAAATACTGAACAAGTAACACTCAGAGAGATAAAGGAAAGTTACAAACTAATGCATGCACATTCCAATATTACCACAATAAATATTGCTATGATTAAAGAAAAAGATCATGAATGCAGGTTCTTTGATTTAAGAGATCCTCGTTTATGTCCCAGTGTTGCCAAGTCATTATTTATGTCACATCTTTGTAAAGCTGCTCTTCATTAAACAAACATTAATTCTTGAGAAAATTATGTCTTTTTTTTCACTAAATTAAACTTTGGTTTGTAGTAACAAGCTCAACAATCTACAGCCATGCTGAGACTCTGTTAGACTGCATCAGCCTGAGTGCTGCTGTGAGCATTATGCTTACATCAGCATTCTAACATACACATAGTCACAGTGACGATACATACATAATGATTTTGGTGAAGCCTGCACGATATAAGAAACATATGTGATGTGTGATAACAATATGGAGTAAGATGAATAAAAATGAAAGCGATATAAGCTATAACTCAGAGTGCTTCTGTCGATCTACGTTTCTAAATGTTTAACACAACACCTGTGTTAAGCAACGTGTTTCTTCTGAATCTAAAATAAAACCAAAAAGCTTTTTTTTAATCCTAACAAAACAGTTACCAGTTAGTCTGAAGGTAGGTAAAAGCACACATGACTGCATCAAAATGTTTACATGAAACATTTTTTGTCATGGCCTGATATTAATAAACTCATTTTCACTTCCATAGTCTCACAGCTACATTACATCACCCACATCATGAATATCTGAGCTAAATATTATGTCAGTTTATCTGAGAGTTGCTGAGATGTTTTCAAAGCAGTGAGAGAATGGACAAACATTTTCGGAGGCCAGCTGACCGACATATAAAGTCATACCATTGCGAAAATAATGTGTTTTTAAGTTTATCAAGTTTTTTTTCAAGCAGAAACATAACTAAAGTATCATATTGGAAAGTTTACTGAAACGTATCTGGTTGTAAAGGTTATGTGCAAGTAAACGTTCAGTATAATGAAGTCTTTGTGTATGCAGATCTGCCTGTTTGAATCATGTGTGGGTTTTGTTTTGACAAGTGGTATCAATTTGCCTCCCCCATCCTTCCCCTATGTTTCCTATTCACCCCCCCACCATCCCTATACTGGGGTGCAGAGGCCTATACAAACACAAAACAAGACCCAAGATTTTCTACAATAACCAGGGCATCTGGGGGGAAATCCATCTTTACCTGCATAACCCGATTGTAAAACACAGACAATGAATCAACAAAGGTGGAAAATATGGTTCTGTTAAAACCCGGGCAGGAAGTATCCAAGACTGGTTGAGCCATGTCCGCTGACATTATGTCTTCAGGGCCATTCTTTGGCCTTATGATCCTGGGCATGAAATAGCCTGATGACTCAGGAGTCTGATATTCTTGTAAACAGAGCCAAGGAGCAACATGAATACCAGACAATACGTCAGCAGTGGACTGAATCAGCTCATTGTACTTCTGAAGGGGTAACTCGCTCAGAACTGCAGCCGGCGTGTGTCTCTGCCTGGTGCATGCCTGGTCTGTATGGAGCTATTGTAACAGTGCACACCACAAAATCTGCCCGACAGCGCTACAAAAAAGTCACTTTGACCTCAGCTGGATATAAAAAAAAATGTTTTCTAAATATGAGTGTTTCAAAAAAATCTGATTTTCTTGCATATTTTTCAGAATGATGGCTTTTTGAGAAACTAAGAATCCGTTTTTTGGGGGGGTTTTGCTTTTTGCTAATTTGAAACACATTTGAAGTTATCAGTAACTCATGGAAAACTGACTGCCACACCTCTCACTTCAAATTGCTTTGAAACCAGTATTGTGGTTAAAATCCTGTCAGAAGTCAATAAACATTAAATGATGTAGAGTAATCATGTTGTGTTTTTGAATCCCTTCTGTTGCTAAGGGCATAACTAAAGCTGCTATGGAAAACAAGACCTCCTTGTCTCTCTCAAAGACTCTTCAGCCATTGAGTACATGTTGACTTGGATGTTTGCATGTTTATGTTCTTACCTCAGGACAACCCTCGTCCCAGGTTCCGGGATGAAGAGCTGGACTCTGGCTTTCTCCTCGACACACAGCGGGCAGCCGCTCGGCACATGATGCTAACAGCCAGGTACCTTCCTGTGAAAGGATTAAACAGTTTACAAGAACAGCATATCATAAATAATACTAACATTTTAAAGGGCTTAGATGTGGAAGAATTGATCCATCGCCAGAAGAAAGGCAGAAAATGTTATGACCACCAAAAATTGTTTAATATTTCCAGTTACTAAAATAAGATATATGTTTTTTGTCTTCAATATCTCTTCTGGTTCTAGAGACCTGATTGTCATATTTTTTCATGTGAAGGTCCCCTAGACTTACACGAATCCAACCATGACACAGAATTTGATAAGATTTTGTTGCAGTATCCCCAGTTTGATAGGACGTTTGGGAGGTCTTGTTACAATGAAATCCTGCTCATTGTGTTATGTATAATCATTAAGTATAATTGTGTTAAGTATAATAATAATGAAATCAAATGGTTGTTGTACAGTTTAAAGGGCCTATGGGGCTCCTGAGAATGGTTTACTAAATGGTAATGTGCAACTACACCAAAATAATTACCGGTACCTCTGCCTTTCAGTCCAAAAATGGCAAGGCCATCAATCTATTGATCTATTATCTATACCCACTTATACCATTCAAGGGACTGGAGCCCATCCCAGCTGTCATTAGGCGAGAGGCAGGGTACACCCTGGAAAGGTCATCATTCAATCAAAAGGGTAACATATACAGGCAAACAACCAGTCACACTAACACATGCAGGCAGTTGAGAGGCACCAATTCACCCAGGAACCAAGTCTTCGGACTATGGGAGGAAGCTTAATCCACCATGAGCACAGCACTTAGCAACATTTAGCAAAGTAACAGTGGCATGAAAAACAGCTTTTTAACAGGCAGAAACCTCGAGCAGAACCAGACTCACGTCGAACAGCCGTCTGCCATCTGTGTTGGTCTTGGAAAGTGGGATCGAGGGAGATGCAGAAAGAAAATAAAGATGGATGGAGCGACAAACCTTTCGGTCAGCTTTGGCACAGAGTGTTGCATCCGACAGGTTGTGAGGAGGGTGATACTGGTGCCAGAGAGTGAGAGTAACTGGGGAGCCATCAGACCACTCTACAGTCGGCGACGATGCCTGTTTCCAAAGGCCGATCCACACCTCTGTACTCTCCCCGGAATCTGGCAATAATACAACACAATACTCAAAGAGTGTCTGAACAAAGAGAATTTCATTTGTATATCTAATTGCTCCTTACAGTTAGCGAGGAGGCCTAGCAGCATTTCAAGCTCGGACAGGGTTCGGATGCTGGTGAGGTTTGCCCCCTGAGAGCCACAGGCCCGGGCTGACTCCTCCCAGCTCCCTGCTTCTGTTTCTGTCAGCAGCTGGTAGCAGAAACCATTATGAGGCCACCAGCCATCAGCACACTCTGTGTTGATATACTGCCAGTTTCCTGAGAGAGGAGGAAGAATAAGGAGAGGAGAGGAGAGGAGGTGAAATCAGTGCAGGACAGATGAGAATAACACATTTCTAAACACAAGATTCACAGCAGACGATGTTTTGGTCTAGCCACCGACGGTGCAATAGAGAGAAAGGTCAAAAGTTCACTCCCCATGTGCACTGCAGATGTTCAGACCAAGAGCTAAAAAGAGCCAAAAAAGCTTCACTGACTCATAATTTCTCCCCACCAGGACACCTCTGGACATGCAGAGGAGCAGTCTGTGTGCAGGTGCAACGTTTGTGAGTATGTCTTGTGCTCATGCTCTCACCAAGTGGCTCAGCTCTGAGGGTGTCGTTGGGTGTCTTCTTACAGATGTACGGCAGAGCAGACTCACAGGACAGACTCTGCCAGTGACCCTCGTAGGCCGAGTTGTAAACGCCGCACTGTTTGTTGTCCTTCAGCGGGCTTGCAGGCAGAGCTGAGGAGAACACAGTGATAGGAGAACTGAAGTCACACATTTATTTTTTACCCTTTTGCTTTTCTTGGCATTTGTTTTTTTTTTTAATGGTCCAACAATCTTAGTATAAAATGATTTTTAAAAGTACCGCACAGTCCCAATAAAAAGATGATTCCCTCTAACAAAAATCAGTACCTGTGGTGAAATTAACCAATGAGAGAGGGGCTCCATCAGACCACTGCCACCCCTGTGCACCTTTCAGATGGTTCAGTCCAATCCACACCATCGCTCCAACACTTGCAAGTCGATCTACCACAACAGACAATAACAGTGATGTTGTGTCAAATCACTTAACTGCTTTCAGTGGAAAATAGGTTACTGGTATATAATAAGTCAATCTCACGAGTCACTGACTTGGGAGACAAACAAAATGTTTCCAAGAGTTTAAAAATGAAAAGATTCTTATACTGGTGTAGAACAGTCTCAGTGCTCTCTCTATGGATTTACAATGTTTATGCAACATGTCATATTCAGCAGCTTTTGGTCCCTGTGTGTGGTTTCTACCTGATGCCTACCTCTGATGTACCTTTGCTCTGCCAGGCTGGTTATGCTGAGCAGATTTCCCCCCTGAGCCTGGCAGGTAGACAGAGCCTGACTCCATGTGAGGATGGTGTACAGGTTAAACTGGTAACAGGCCCGCAGCTCCTGGTTTGACTCCCAGAAACGCTCACAACTGAAATCTGTAAACAAAGCCATGAATTAAAGCGACGGTGGGAAACTGATTAAACAAAGGGATATGCGTCAGCATGCACGTCTCAACGTGTGGTGAGGAGTTCAGGGATCATTAAGTTAATGTGAGCAAAGAGCAATAAAGGCTAGCATGCTGAAGATAAAAATGATAAATATGTTCACATTATATCTGGTGGGGTTTTTTGATTAGAATTGCTATATGTTCTTTTTCGTTTTCATTTAAAACAAGGGATGTTCAAAATACTACAAAGACAGAGGGAAAAGGTTAGACATTTTAAAAGCTTTAAAATGTAAGGTTTGGGGTGACAGATAGCCTAGTGGTTATGTTGCACGCCTTGTGTACAGAGGCTGCAGTCCTCGCCAAAGCAGCCTATGGGTTCAACTCCGACCACGGCCCTTTGATGCATGTTATCCCTCCATTCTCACCTCCCAACATTTCCTGTCTCTCTTCAGCTGTCCTATCTAATAAAGGCAAAAATGCCCCAATATAGAAATGATTTTATTCCTACACTGGCAAAACGTGAGCAAAAGAAGACACTAGGGTTGTCAGGATACCAGAATTTTACCAGCCAGGACCAGAACAATATAGCGTTTTACCATCACAACTGCGATGTGCATGTAAGCATTGGTCAAATAGCAGGACTCGCAATGTCAGTCAATTGATCTGAAGCACAACATGTTGCCACTTTTGTGTTTCTGGCGCAAACAAAAACACAATTTTGACTGACTAATGACTTATCTACAATCAAAGTCGGTCTTATATCACCATCAGTAGTCAGAGAACTGAACATTGTGCATGCAGTGTGTTTGCTCCATGCATGTAAAAATACAGACTACATGTCCTGCTGCTGCCGTCACAGATACCATGGAATGATGAGCCAGGAAACATTGCTGATAACAAGTATTCATTCTCTCTCTCGGTCGGCATTGATGAGCAGTTGTTGAACAGACATCATCGAGTTACCGCCACTCACCTCTCTGATTGTATTCACTTTGATCTAAACTTCTTCATTATTGTCTTCTTCACTGCCACTGCCATTAGGATCATATTAACATGCGGCGTATGGCGGAAAAGATTGATGACAGCCACATGACTTCAATACCCAGGGTGCATGGCAGTGTACAAAACAACGGCTGCCGACGTGTGAATTTATAATTTCAAATCTTTTTTGAAATTTATGAATCTAGTGTATGATTTTGTACAACATACATGTCAAAGATACCAGTGTTGATCCAAGGTCAACATGTTGGTATACGCAGGGTTCCCTTTAAGAGAATTCAAGTTTCCTTTCCAACTCTGGAGTGTCTTGTGTCCTCTTTACCTTGAACAGGACAGAAGCCCCATCTTTCCGCCTCGTCGTAGCGAGTGGTCGTAGAACACCACGGAAGATGGTCTTCGCGCCCCTCGGTCGTGCACTCATGATACCACTTGTTGTTGTATTTAAAGGGTAAAGCGCAGGGCATGCCATGTGCATTTCCCAGCAAAGTGTGGATTTCTGTAAATAAACACACCAGGTATTTTTTTTAAACTGCGTTCAATGTCACTAAAGACATGTTATATTTGAATTCAAGTGGCATGCAGGGTATTTTACCTTCATATGGGCGTGAGCAGGGCCCCTCTTTGGGGGTGCCGTACCGTTTCCAGAAATGATATGAGTTTTTCTTTACCACCACCAGACGTCCGGTCACAGCCACCTTCCAATGAAGAGCCCCTTTCAAAGCGTTCCTGGTGCAGCGCCACCACAGCACGGGGACGCTGAGGTCACACTCGAACATGCCGAGAGGCTGCGTGGTGTCTGACATGTTCAGGCCCAGGCACATGCTGGTGCCCAGATTGAAGAGGCGATGTTGGGAGACCCACTTCCAGAGCATGCTACGCGTGGGCCGCTCGCAGTCCTCTATCACCAGGTTAGAGCGGTCGGCTTTGATGCAGCGCTTCAGCGGCTCGCTCTCCAGGATGAACAGACCCTTTTCTAGAAGAGATGGAAGGACACAGGTTTGAACTTTGTGAAATGACTCGCCCCTGCCAAAATTACCTGGGCCCGTCCAGCAGCATCGAAACACGTGAGCAAAAATGATGCAACATTATGGATGCACACACAGAAACGCTCAACCAACTATGTTTGCACTTTGCACAATTTTCGCCAGATGTTGCCACACCTCAACTTGAGCACAAAAGCCTGCCATTGCTGCCTTTAAAGCCAATGAATCCTTAACTAAAGCAACAGAAGGCAGTTCTTTTTCCAGCCGGCACAGATGTTCAAGACACAGTTTTGAAGTCTGCAGAAAATACCTTTCCACAAGCTGTGAATGACTCAATCAGGAGATATGACCAGTTCACTTTTTTACTAGAAAGCTCAGTGTTATAATAAACATTTCATAATTTGAAACTGTGTGTCAATGGTGGTGCTCTGTCTGTTTTTTCATGCTTAACAGAATCTGGAGGCGGCAAATCAACATTAATATTTCACTGATAGTCCACAGAACTATAGAGTAACATCAGGCTTCATAATCAAACAAAGTGTGAAACAAATGTGGATTCTTGTTTGTATTTTGTTCATGTATTCATTCTAGTGTAGAGTCAGTAAATGTGTGCAGCACTGGGGTCCAAGACAAATTTCCTTGAAGGGACATTAAGTTTATTGTATCATCTCATATTATATATTGAATGTCAACGCTTCAACCTGTAATGACATTTATTGTAGGCTAATGAGGTTGCATGAGGCTCTCTGTTCATTTACATAAAGTGAGATCTGATCACAAGCAGTCACCAGAGAAGTATGCAGAGAAGAGTGATCTGCCCAGGTTTGAACAGCTGTGCTTTGAGCTGTTCATTTGTGACGGCATCATGAACACCAGGTGTAAATAAAAAAAAAATGGGCAGCAGGGTCAGATTAGAAAATATCTTCAGGGCCATTGTAGATAAGCTACTTTTTATTTATCCTATTTATAGCAGAGAAACTTCTCTTACAACATCAAGTAATCCCCAAACAGCCAATGAGGGAGCGAGACAAAAAGGGGAGAGAATGAGAGGAGCAGACGAGGAGGAACAGAGAGAAAGGGTTGAGAAACTTGGCCGATGAAGTGAGAAATTTTGGTGTTAAAAGTGCAAAATAGAAAGGGGAAGATGGCTGGATTTGTTTGGATTCAGTGTTTCTTCAACAAATGGAGCAGCATCAAATATGCATAAAGGCCTGAAGGGAACCTCAGTTCACTGTAACTGGATCTTCTAACAAAACAAGGGATGTATACTCTGAATGTATACTGGATGTGTGGAACTGATGAAAACAGTTGCAGGAATTCTCTCAATTGCATGTCACAATAGAAAATCAGAGGTCTAATGTTCTCATTGCCAGCGTGAAGTAAAGAAGTTGGAAAGAGTGTTTTAAAGAGGCAATGCACATTCATACTGAGAGGAACTTGAAGATCTATGTAACCCAAACAGTGCATAAGCAGGGGTGTATTTTCAGTGTCCGGATATCCTCCTTTCTCCGTGATTAGACAAGACTTGAACTATACCATAACAACAATATTCTCTCATTACAGCAATAATAAAAGCCTGACTGTGTGAGGTCAATGTGAGGTGACTGTGTATGAAAAGGTGTTTAAATCTGTTAGGATCTGGACAATATGAGTAGCATGTGAATGCTGGGATATTTGTGTTGACTTTGGCGGCTCGGGCAGACAAAGAGGAACCTCTCCTCTCTTTGCTGATTTGTTCTGTTCCATCAGTAAGAAGCGGTTTTAATCAAAGAAAAGTCTCATCTGCTTTCTTGCCTTTTAATGTCCAATGTAAAGAAACTGCATCATCTGACAAACCTACAGTGCAGCAATGGTTCAGGCGCTGAAATAATAATGATAATAAGGAAAAGGTGAATCTTTATGTTGATGGTCGCATTTTTTTTTGTAGTTCAGATAGAAGCATCTTTTCTCAGATCTGTTTCATAAATAACCAATTAAAACTACTCACATGAGATTTAAGAATATAACATAAAAATAACGTCTTGTTTTTTTTACACTTTTTTGCTCAAAGTCAAACTGCAAGTTATGTTCAAAGAAATGTAGGAATAATGTTACAGTGACAGTGAACAGACCCGTAAGCTGGAGTCAGAGACTGAGCTTTGTTGTTTGAACAACTTTCCTAATGAATCCATCACAGTAAACTAATACACATATCAATTCATTGGTTTAAATGAATCAGAATGATTTAATCTCCAATGTGGTCAAACACAGACATCTTCTTGTACTTTTTTTTTTCTTTCAAAACAGCAATCAGTGCATGGCTACCTAAACCAGATGTTCACTCAATGTATCACTGCATGATAAGTAGCATCTGCACACTTCACATTTAAGAGGCGTTTATTGAGTTAATTCATCAAGGGGGTCAGAAAAGTAGGATATCACGTTTTCTCTTCATCACCTTAACTTTCAGAGGGAAGCTTCTGAGCTGTCCTGTGTAACAGGTAGGAGCTACTGTAGGTAAAGAGAGCCAGGCTACAGCTGTGCTGCTCAAACTGTGCTCCAGAGGCCACTAGGGGACTTTTAATAAAGTTAAGGTGGGTCCTCGTGAAACTGGCGACTGATTAACTTTATTCACCACCAATTAGGACACATCACGTCCTGTGGGCACAGTGAAGAGAACATCTGAAGTTTCCTCTGCACTTCCCTCCAGAACACTGTACAACACGTATGTAATTCTGTGCCATGTTTGAAGACAAAACACACCAACAGCGGATGGTCGGCTTATTTTGCAGTTCATTCACATGAAAACAAAAGGAGGCACAGGTCTAGCTGCAGCTCCAGATAAAATAACTTACTGTAAAAGTCCTCGAGCTGATTTTTCTCCAGGACCTCATCGTCCTTCTCAGTGACACACATGCAGCTTTTCGCCAGCAACACTGTTGCACAAATAGTCGCCACAACAGCCACGGAGTCGATGAAACGAAACCACTGTATGAACATTTCGACGGCGGGATGCAATGTTGAAGTTCAAATGTCCGCACATGCCGAGGCTCCTGGTCACAGAGAGTACTTTAGGGCTCGCTGTTTGTTCTCTTCATAGAAAACTTTGTCCGAGTGAAGTTTTTCAGCGGGGGAGCAGCGACGTCACGTCTGACGGAGGAGCAGCTGCTGCTCTCCGGGCTGGAAGCCGCATTCCTGCCGCTGAAGACTGTTTTCACTGGGACTGAGCCACGGACCTTTATTTAGACTGAACAAAATGGCCCCAACAAACAAATAAACACTATGATAGATATATATTCGGGTTACATTAAATGTTTTACTTTACTGGCTATCACTAGACCCAATAGGCCAGTTGTACACATTAACAGTGGCGATGGAAAAAGTTTTACTAAGGCGAAAATAGACTTAAAGACTTCCATTCACATAACCAAGTAAAAGCAGCAAATAGAGGCCAAAAGTGAAATATCAAAATAGATATCAACGTTATGCAGGTCGTCAGATAACAGAAAAATAACATAATGAACTGCAAACTAGTGCACAGAATTAAAAGAATTATTATTACTTTTATTCAGCTGACTAGTCAAGATTTACAAAATCTTAAATGTTAATAACCCCAATTAAAAGTAGGCCTACAAGTCTAATTCTGGTAAAAATGAATTAAAGCTATCAAAAGTAGCCTAAATGTGCTAATTCAGAGTTTAATCAAACACGTTACTTAAATCTACTGTCAATAAAAACTCACAATTCTTCAATTTCCAGAAATGTAATTCATTGGTATCATTTATTACATCCCTCATCCTTTTTACACAAAGGACTAATGTGACTCCAAGCACAAGTGTGGATAATAATGATGATGTCAAGTTCAAGTGTAACTACTGAAGTACAAGGGTGGTGAAATAAGAGGCAGTTTTGGTGCTTTTATGAAGGATATTTTTTTTTACTTTTTTAAAAGCATTAGCATCACTGTTTGTAGGTAAATATACTGCCTATATCACTGCGTTGTATTTTCTACAGACAACATAAATAAATAAAAAAGAACGACATTAGAATAAAGTCAGCCCAACATTTTCTGTGTGGTAATTTGAAAGAAAAAAAAAACACAACTTAACTTAGGTCAAATGCACTTCATGAGCACAATATCAGATAAAATATTAAAGCGGTTAGAGCTTTATTCAACACGTATCCCTTGCACAAGAATAGGGCAATGAGAATACTTTAACCTGCAAAAGCTTTAGTTGTGCAAATTTCCAATTCCAATAATAAGACACCAAATGACAAAGGCACTTCAATAAAGAATATCAATACAGTTTAGGGCAAATGCATTTTATTACTTGTTCTTTACTTCCCATGAGTGAGAAGATAGTGACGTTTCTATTTGATAGAGTTTGCAGTTTTAAATATAAACAAAATAAACTTACCTTTAAACCTGCTTTTTAATGCCAATTCTGAACAATATATTCAATAAATATCAGGATCTTTCAGAACTCTGTTGTAACACACAATAAACTCTGAATGTAAGAAGTATTATTATTTTACAATTTCAGAGTCAAAAATCCACTTTGTTTATGTGCCATGCCACTTAAAACTCAACTATCAACATCGAAGGCTCAGCCTTACTTTACAATTTAACAACAAACACAAAATAAAAAAAATCATCCACCTGTATATTTACATTAATTAGAATAAAACATAGATTTCTTTTCAGTAGTAGACCACAGGAAGTGTAGACCTCTCTTTCCCAAGCTGCACCTTACAGTAGACGAAGCTGTGTTAAAGTATGACGCAGCAGTGAAGTTCAGTGTTTAACAGTACATTGGCAGAGCACTTTAAAAAGCAGCAGGTTCATCATGTAGTGTTCCTCTGTCACAGTGTTGTTTACTGTGGTATAGTCTCTGAATCAATACAAAGATTCATGTAAAAAAAATTGTACAAAATATTCTCTTTCCATCTCTCTCGCACTCATTCAAACACACACACACTCACTCACTCACTCACACAACAAAGTGCACTCAGGTGATGGTTCACCTCCACTTTGCCATCAGTAGGAATCCAGTGTAATAATCTTTTCTCTCTGTGTGTTCTTATAAGTTATATTTTTGAATGTTGACGTTGAGCTTCTGAACAGAGGGTTCGTCCCCTGGAGAGAGACAGAGGTAACAGTCAGCATTCATAATCTGATCAGAAAACTGAGACAAAGATATTTCTTCTGTGTTATTATTTCATTATTGTAATACTAGAAGCAATACCAAAGTTCTAAACCTTCATGACACACATTTCAAATTATGTTTTATTTTTTAAGAAGAATATGAGATTTTGAACCTGATGGGCATTCTTGTTTCAGGAAACCGTTATTTAACAGTGAAAAGTAGTGCTTTCATGAAGGAGGATTTTTTTTTGGAAACAGATTTGGTGTACTTGTGACTAGGTTTAGAAGGCTGTTGTAAGAAGCACTGAGTCAAAATACACCACATCTCCCATGTGCATCATAATCAAGGACATCAACTTTCAATTTCAGCTGAAACTGTGGCAGCCTGATTGCCACAGTTTGCTTTTAATGAGCGACAACTCAGCCAAATCCGAATACACACAGCCTGAGCTAAAATCCAACATGGCTGCTACTGCACGTGCATCAACAGTAAAGTTAAAGATAAGATAAGATACTCCTTTATTCATGCATTAAGCTGTAAACGATCACTGTTTATTAGCAACTTAGTCTTGTTTAGTGTAATTAAATCAATCACACAGATAGTAATTTGTAAGTTCTATCTGTGGACATGTTGTCATGTTGCCTCTGAGTGCAAACTATCACGTAGTGCGTTGTTATCGCCGGGTAAAATCTAAGAAAACAAAGGTAGACCTGAAGGTGCCTCCCAAAACACTATGGAAACAGTAGTTCTTCATCACTTAGAGAAGACTTTCCAACAAAAAATCCTTCATATTTGTCAAAGTTGTGCTTTAAGTATTTTCTTACATTAATTAGTGTAGACGTTTGGGAAGACGTGAGCTCAAAAAGGGAGATGTCACAGATGTCCCCTGATCCATCTCTGCCTTTTCCCTCTCTGGAGTTAATTTTTTTTCTACCTTTGTAGATTTATTTTCCTCAAATCAACTGAATGAAATTGTTTAACAAACAACAAAAGTTATTTTTTTATTTCAACTAAACTGCTTCATAAACACATGTTTGAAAAGCTAACTCATAAGAGAGTCAGCCTCAGGATTGTCACACATTTGGTGCTTCTTATTTGGATAACCTCATATTTTTGTTGTTTCCTGGGGTTGAAAATAACATAAACATAGGCAACCTTATCTTTTAAATATTGACCCTACCGTCTGCCATTTAGCCTTGGACCTCTCAGCCTCAAACTTGGCCACCTCTTTGCGGTCATGGACTGACACCAGCACTTTCCACACACCGAGCAGGATCAGGCCAATGCACACTATGGAGAGGGAGACCCCCAGTATAATCATGGGGATGTTGGGCGGCTCTGGACAACCTGGTGCAGGACAGAAAATAGGATAAGACTACTCATAGAACTCACTTTTGTTTTTCATATCATCTCAAATACTCTTAAGCTCACCATATATCTGGAGGTTGTATGCCGTGATCCCAGTCTCACCTGCCACCACACTGAACGAGATCCAGCACTCGTTCTCCGTCATTAGAGTGCATTGCATAGAAGCACTCTTGTCAAAATCTGAGAAAAAATGTGGACAAAAATATCCATAAGTAAGACACATATCCATCGTATATCACCTTCCCTTTCTGCATTGTCCTGAGAATGTAAAAGGATATACTCGCCTCTGTTGTGCTGTCAGTGTGATTTCCATATCAAAGACTACAATCTGGTGTGTGTGCATGTGTGTGTGTGGACCACGCCATTGTATTTCACATCTGAAGCCTGACAAATCCTCTGTGATAATCAGATATACCTCTCAGCTTGCACAAGTATGGCAGGTTTAAAATAATCTCCTCTATAAAGAAAGACGGGGGTCCTTTGGCTATTCACATGCACTACAATAGCTCTGCCTGTACGACAAGGTAAATAATATGTTCCCCATTGTCCACTGCTGGACATGGACATGGATGGTGTTGTGTTAGAGAGAGCTGGGGATACAGGCTTCATAGAGGAACCCGATTCGATGCAGGTCAGCATTCCTCCAAATCTCTGACCCATGGGAAAACTTAGCAGGGCCCAGTGTTGATACCACGATCAAAAACACTGCGGCTCAGGGAACAACCTCCAGCAACAAGAAGCAGGTCCAAGACAGGTAAGGACGAGGACAATGTTTATGGACTCATGGCTAATTTATATTGTTTTAATGTTGGTGCAGCTTAAAGGGTTATTAGCTAACAATGAAATATATACTAAAGGCTCAATCTGATCTATAGCGGGAATATTCATTATTTCTTTAGAGTTGTTATCATTGCCCGTTGCTGTTGTCATCAAGTAGATTTCAAACAATGAAAATTAGCATCATTGCTGCTGAAAGCCGGCATCTTAATTTCTCACAGAAAAGATTTACATGAGTTGCACGTTAGACAAGGGAAGCGGGATGATTCAACTATTGTGACCAGTTTAGGACACAAAGATCATGAAAGAGATTAAAGGTAGGTAAAACTTTGTCTCCAGGGCTCATCAGGTGGGACACAAAACAAAAGTGAATTGAAATGTCTTGTATCTTGGTTTAATGAGAGAGAGAATGTTACAGCTTACAAAAACAATTAGGATGAAATTGAATAAACCCGAGTCCCCAAACCTCAACGAGTGGAGGGGAAATAGTTAAAGAAATCTTTGAAATGGAAAAGATGACTTTTCAACCTCATGGCCCAGTAAGTGTTTCTTATTTTTGTCTTTGCTTATTCGTGTTTGTTTCTCATAAATGTGACAATGTACTAAATACCATAATTTAAAGTCATTTAAAAAAGGATGTAGCTGCTGGATAATAACTTACTCAACTATATCGACGCCAATTTTAAGAACTTTGTTCTTACTCTAACAGACTCACCTTACCTTTTCACTTCTTTGTGTGTTATATGCTATGAATATCCCGCTCTGCTCACTGTTTTTCAAAACTAATCACAACTTGTTTCCTTCCAGGTACTCGCTGATTTCATTCCATGTTAGAGCTCGATTAAAATCTACTTGCATCAAATCCAAGCCTGCCAGAGAAACTTCTTTCTTGTTATCT